CATTTTCACTACCAGCTATTACTTTTTCACGTGCACTTTACAATGAACCTTGCTTAGCTACTCTGCTCTTACCCCAACTCCTTTTCTCTTGCAAGACTTCCCTTTCACACACTCTCAGCTACAGAAACTTGCTTTGACTGGATTCCAGAATTCCTCATCTGAATGCTTAGAAGCTTTGTGCTGCCAACCTATGGGATTAGAGAGACATCTGTTAATAATAAGGCTTCCTTGGTGTTCAAAGTTTTCAAGCAACTAATGCCCACAACATTACCATAACATAAACACATGCTGTCCCCCTTTATAGACAGAGAGAAAGAAAGAGGTTTGTGTGATTTATCTGAGACATAAAACCAAGTAAAATGCTAGGAATTCCTAAGTTCTCGATTCCCAAATTATCACATAAAAGGTGTATATAATCCAGTTAAAGCAACACAGTAATGAGAGACAAAAAGCAAGTTTCATTGAACAGCCCTGCCATTGGAACTCTGTCCTAACCTGATTGTGCCTTCCCTCTCTCCTCAGCTCTCCAGGGAATGCAGGCTGTTAAAAACCGCTCTGCTAGATGCGAATTCTCACCATATAGCAGTACTTTGAAATAGCAAACACTAACAGGATATTTTCACTTTGACTTTTAAACCAGCTTTGCCCCCAGGCCTCCCATGATTTAAAGTTAAAATGTTCAGAACTCCCAGGTGGTCACGCATTACATTTTGAAATTGGTTTTTCGGTGCTCCAGACACACCACACATAGGCCATTAGAGGACTTGAAGACCTGCTTAAGAATTGTGCCTAGCCTCCCATAGAATTCAGAAGACCAAGATCCCACTTTACACCTTGAACTTTCCTACCATTTATGCTCTTTTCACTCTAAGGATAATTACACCATCAACCAACCCAGTCAGATGAGCCTGACCAGCAAAAACCACATCTTCATCAAGTCCTTCAGAAACTGCGTCAGCATAGCTAATCTCACTGCGAACAAAGCTGAACGTGCCCTACAGTCTCCTAGGCATTGGTAGGAATTGCTCTCAATATTGGAGAAGTGTCAGGTCCATGTTTGGTAGAAAAGTGTCCATTCGGAGATGAAATTTCATCTGTTCATTTTACAGATAGCATAAAAACTGTGTGGTCTGTTCAAGCCCAAAAGATACACTGTTGTATCTTTTGAATACAAAAACAAAAACAAAAGTTGTACTTGAAGTTAATTCTTCAGATTCCAACCCAGGCTTGTGACAATGGATAGGCTTCTACTCTTCAACATATTTAGTTTTGAAATAGAAAATGCTCATTAAAAAAAATACACACTACAGATGGTATAATAGCAGTAGGTAGCAGACAGATACACAGGGTAGACAAACCAGCTTCATAACATTCCTATGCCCGATATATGCATCAATAGAAGAGTACACAGTTGATAAGGTGTAGACATTTCAGTAACTGCACTTACTCTCTTCACTCTGAAAGAGAAGCTGAAGAGACCATTCAGTGATCTATTAGCACACAAACCTAGGATCTTCAGGTCTGATCACATTTTCATTTCTGGAAAAGAAAACAACTCATATTTTCCAGGCAAGCATTAATGTGTATACAGAAGCAAACATCAGGAAGGAATAAAATGGAACAAGCAAATTTGCAGTTGTGTTGTGATACCTGAGCAATGCAAGTACGTGCTCTTCCAAAGACAATAAATTAAAAAGTTACTATTAAATGTGGTGACATCTGTAAATAATCTACAAGTCTTATGAGGATGTTCTAGGGGAAAAAGCTAACAAGCAGAAGTGTTCTGGCACACAAGACATACTATTCCTGCACAAAGTAGTGCAAGCCTTTCTGGCTTCTACATTTTCCCTTACAAAAGACAATCCCTTTCTGACTCTTACAGCAGCCAAAATCGTCATCAAAAACCTTACTTCTGACTATGCATAATAAATCACTGGTAAGATTGGTTGAATTACAATGAATTAAATCAATTATGACTATGACATGCAGCACTACCTGAGCTCAGCCCGAAGCTCCAGAACATTTAAAAGCTTTTGCCACAAGAATTAGTAATAAATTAATAAGCAACAAAGAAAGCAAATAATCACAAAGTGGTAATCCACTACAAAGATCTTGGCTTTTTTGCGTTTGCCCTCTGGATGCCATCTGTAGGTTGTGGAAGAAAGCACTGCATAAATCCAGCATACAACAGAAAAGCAGGCTGTGAGGAATCAAAGACTGCATGTGGATAAGTCATTCAACCTTTGCTAAGCACCCAGGTCATCCCTGCACAACCCAAAAGACTGTTAGAAAGTAAATTCAACAGTAATTACAATTGCTGCCTTCTATTATTTTCTCACATTCAGGGAACCAAACATTGAAGTCCTACTTCCAGGCACTTCAGAGACGCAATTCCAACTTCCACGCTGGAGGTAAATGTTCTTCTTCCTTGGCAAAGACATCCTACTGATCTCTCCCAACACATGAAATCAGCATTAAGTACTGCTGCAATATCTAGGCAAAATTGTTTTAAAGCATTTCATTTCAGTCACTCTTCTTTCATGATTTATTTTCTACCTACTTGCACTTGCCTGAGCCTTCTAGAAAGGGCTTTCCCCTTCTGTTCACCTCCAGCTAATGTTCCACCTCTTTGTTCTCTAAATCCCTGACCTCTCATCCTTGGGGCGTGAATCAAAGTTATCAAGTCTAGTAAGAAATCACCTCAAATTTTATGGGAAAGGCTTCTGCCTTTTCTCTTCCCTCTACTAACCCAAAGCTGTTTTTGCCTTGTCACTTAATTAAAATTGGAAATAAAATCCATTAAAAAGTTCAATCTCAGCCAAAGGAAATGGAAGCACAAATTAGTGCTTGGGTCAGTTCAGGAGCACTTCATGCCACAACCTTTGAGTGTTAATACAAATAGCAACCACAGGCAAGCTGCGGTTAGGCACTGTCCTCACATAATGTCAGTACAAAGATCTCCCAAACACACTTCAGAATTACTTTCTATTCTTCTGTGGACTTTCAAAAGACGTCTGTTGTTAGTACAGACATGAAAATAACATCTCAACAGTGACAAGAGCATACTGTTTTCACAATCCTATTATTTTCCCTCTTTAAAAAGTAACATGCATTATTTCTCTGTAAGTAAAACTCCAGCCCTATTCTTCACTGGGTGGACTTAATGTGGGCTCCAGGTCAGTAAAAGATACTATATTGAGCAGCACCTAATGATTTACACATGTAAAAAGAACCCTAAGGGCAGTGTTTTAACAAGTAAAAAAAAAAAAAAAAAAAAAAAAAAAAAAAAGTAACTTCTTTCTCTCCAAAAGGGAAAGAAGAAATCATTGGAGATACAAAGTAACTCTTGGAAGAATTGCATACATTATATACTCTTAGTTGCAGACATTCTTCCCACAGCAATTTCAGAACATTTCATTTCTGAATCCTGCATCAGTGACACTTGGTATGTTTTAGCAGTGAGGTTACACCTAACTGTATGAGCTTGGGAAAAATCTGCAGAAAACATATGAAAGCAGATGTTGAAAATGGTCTGATGACAAGACATTCATCTCCTCATGAAATAAGCATTTTAATATTTCCCAATTTATGATAGTACTGGTCATTTCTGGCCATTTAAATTGTTCATTTTCCCAAGCACTCTCTATTGTTAGTTGCTTGCACAAGGTCTAATCTGTTCTACAGATTTCTGCTTAGTTCGTTATCACATGCCATCAATACAGCTATAAATTGAAAAAAAAAAAACACTAAAATTAAGGTAAAAAATGACCTAACTTCTGATCTATCACTGAGAGTTCAGCATGGATAAGTTTGTAATCAACACCTGCTATTCACATGTACAAATTTTCATTTGATGTCTCAAAAATCAAAAGAAAACAGCAATGAGCAACAGACAGGGAAAGTAATTTGATTTTACACAGTGCCCTGCACTGTTGAGCTGCCCCTAAGCATTTGGCAGGACAAGCCTCCTAGACATGCCACCATACAGCTACATACAGCAGCTGTTCTGCACTCTAGAAGAGTTTACCTGTGATCAGAATACCTTCATAGTGAAAGGCAGAACATAAACCAAGACAGGACAACCTTTACTCAATTAAGAAAAAATAAAGGAAAAGAAAAAAGGCCGCTGTATCTGTAGGTACAGTGCTGTATGCTTAGAATTCTAAAGTGTACCACAAAGTATAACTAATTGATACTGCAAAGGTAACTGTAAAAAAGGAAAAGTTCTTAGTTTCTGAGGTTTATGCTGCATTTCTCATACACCTTACATCTAAACCCCATATATTTAACAGTGCCATAGGCCAAATAGAACACTGCAGTAAAAAAAATACAGCAGATATTTTTACCACAAACAAACAAAGCTCTACACAATTTATTAATCTTGTCTCACTGCATGAGGAACTATCATAAACCTTCAGGCATACACAACTCTAAAAATGGAAGCTTTCCATAAGGAAAGTCCTTCCTGTGTGATGAAGCATAACTTATCAAAAACAGGATGCAGCACACAGAGCACATGTGCATCCTTGCTTCAATTGTTACAGCATTCATTAGCCCTTCCTAGCTGAATTACTCAGTACAGTTGTATTTGTTTTTGTAAAAGCAAATCTACTCTGCCCATAACTCTGTGAAGCAGAGACAACTGGGCACAAGAATGAATACAATTCAGGAAACTAAGCACAGTTGCATTTTGAAGAACATGGTAAACCGCTAAGCCTATTACATAAAGATTATTGTCTGCTTGAAAAGGATTACAGTCAGGGTGGCCAGACAAGCCCGAGATATCATTTAACACAGCCTTCTATGCATCCAATGACTGGATTATTCCAAAATCTGGAGAGCAAAGTTGAAGCCAACTTATCACCCATCTCATTTGACATTACATGTCATGAGCGGATCAGAACAATCCTGGACGTCTACGATTCAGAAACAAACATGCAAGCAAGCCCTCTTCTTCTCTTTGCTCCACCCTTCACAAAGACAGACATAGAAAGGAAACATCAATTTTATAATGTCAGCATTTATTTACATGATCAAAGATTTACATAGTTTGAAAAGTTGTCACAACGGGAACCCAACCATTAGTGCCTCTCTTCAAAAATGGGATGACTTAAGATTTGAAGATGTGGCTTCAGAACACTTCAATGATCACGTGGAAAAAAGTACCAGGAATCAACTAAAACAAAAAATACACATCAAGAATGACATTAATTCTATACAACCAGCCTGACACAAACACTTAAAAAAAACAACAGTCAGTTCTTCCAATAATCTCCTCTCTCATAACAATACTTCTGGGCAAACTCTATCCCTAGCCGATGTAAAGTCCTCAAAATGATATCTGTTCACTTTAACTGTTTGCCTGAAGTAATTTTGAAACAACTCTTAACATATTGACATGATCATCCTTGGAAAAAAAAAAATCAAAGATTACGTTCAGTTGTTTGTCAACGATCCGAGATGCAAAACTCCAGTAAATAAAAGCTATTTATTGGCAAGCCATATAAGGGCAAATTGAATGCAACTTTCCCATGACACAGCCTACACAGATGTTACTTTGCAAACAATTCGGAACTTGACTCACGGCTAAGTTTCTCTTAGTGCTTCCTTCCATCTCAAAAAGTGCATGCCTTGTCTGTAGCTCCTGCCAGGACAAAAATCTCTCTCTCTTTTTTTCCTAATAGTTAACAAAAATGAAAATCTAGGATTTGCTTTTATTTCTTGACTAAAAACACATGTTCCATTAACATGAAAACCAGTCAAAAGTAAAAAGAGAATTCTGTCTTCAAAAATTACACTTGAGAAGCGTGGTTGTATCACTTTTAAGAAAAGAGGTTGTTTATCTGATTAGTTAGCTACTGTGAAGAGCAACAAAAAAGTAAGGCAAAGCAACCTTTCTCCTTTAGAAAGGATAAATGTAATGCGTCTATCTTCCATGACTAAAGAGATGAAAAAATATTTAGTCTTCTCATCTTTTTTATGTGAACTACACTTTAATTCACCCTTAAAAGCAATCTCCCACAAACAACTCAGAAATTGCTTCCCATGTTCTATTTAACAGAGCACAAGCACCTCAGTCTGACAAAACCATATCCATCATGCTCACGTGGACAAAAACACCTTTTTCAATAGGACAGTTTCTAAGTTCATTTTTAAAGCAAATCATTAGTAATTGTATGGTATTTTGGGGAAAAGAATATACCTTCTGGGCAAACAGAATCTCCATTCGCAGGCACTGATGCCTAAAACAACAACAAAAAAACACTGTCAGTGTTTTGTTTGACAGATAACACACAAAGCTATTTTACTGCTGAAGCCAAGAGGTAACAATAAATGACAAAATAGGCAAAATAATGAGTGACACATTAATGCCATCTCTAACATATATCTATCTTACTACATTGTCTTAGAAGATAACAAGATTTTCCATTTACATGCTACAGAATGAAAATGCCTTTCCAATTACTTTATTATACATTTGTACATTTCATTATGAGATACATATAAGAGCATACGTGTATATGCACAAACATACACAGTTTGTATTAAAGGTAGGCAAACATTTTAAAATAAATATGTAATCATACAACTATGTTTTGACAGAGAAGGAGTCAGTTCTGTACAGAGTGAAAATTGTTTTAAAATATAGGTCTGTCACTTCTGGTTCATTTCAAAGCTGGATACACTCTTCAATCACAGTATTACACAGCATGTCTTGTCCTACTACTTAAGGGAAGACATTAAAGCTGGTTTTAACACCAGCTGGAAACATCTTCCCCACAATGAGGACGCTAGCCACTCTTATGGTAACAATTCTCTGTCCATCATCCCTCAGCTCCTCACAAATGGGCAAGTCTGACTGATGTGGAAGAAACAGCATCTCAGCATAAGGAATACTGCAACATTCACACTCCCCACACACAACTAGAGTACAAAACAACAGGAGGACATTGGCCACTGACATGATACAAGTCTGTTCCAAACAGACCTACCCGAACACACAACACCAGGACTATTGATTTGGCTGAACCATGCAGCAAAGAGAGCCTCAAAGGTTCAAGTTTGAAGCCTCAGGAGAACAAAGCTGCAACACATCATCTGCATTGCTAGGTGGAACTTCCTGCCTTTGTAGCAGCATGGGAAGACATCAGTGAAAGCCTTGAAGCACTTTGCAGGCAGGCTGAGCCATAGGCAGCGCAAGTGCGTTGAGCACAGGGCAGCATTCAAACTGAGCTCACAGTTTGAGCTGGTTAGGCCTGGCTGTCTCCAAGCAGGAGCAGGGCTTGCTCTGCTCAACAGCAAGTCAAAGTCTCTGAGAAGGAAAGCTAAAAAGCAGCATTCTTTCTCCTGCTTTAAATATGTGCACAAAGGGGTTACATGACAGGTCTGAATGGATGTGCCAGCCTTATCACCAGACCACTATCTTTCCTTCCAGACAAACACAAAGCTTTTTTTCCACAAGGCAGGGAGAACCAGTGGTCACCATGTAGAAGCAGGTGCTTGCCACTTCTGCATCAATTGCTCAGAAAACTTAAGACAAGGACTTGGCACCTTCCCACCAAGAACAGGTCAAAAATTCACTCCACTGAACCAAGAACCTCTTCGCTACAGAATCCTTTCATCGGAGACACTGCTTCACGTGATCCTACTTGAAGCAAGGGGCTTGGATTAGATGATCCCAAGCAGTCCCTTTCAGCCTCAACCAGTCTGCGTCATTTTGTTTAGGATATCACCTCTCCATGCCCAACCCTATGGGTCACAACCTGGCACTAAACTGAAAATTCTGCTTCTCTGAAGTCCCAAATGGAAAAGACTGCTCAGAGAGAAAAGAAATACAAGAAGTGAGGCAGTTGGTAGGCTTTCCTGGTTAGATCTAAATTATTCCAAACATATTAGTAAATACACATATCCAAACTCTGCTGGAGGTTTTTCTAAACTGCCAGGAAAAGTCAAATATTTTCCCCTGTAAGACATTTTTCTGCATTTTAATCAAAAGATACCTCATCCACCAAAGCCATCTTAGTTCATTTTCTCTCCAGCACTATAAGGGAGGAATTATGTGATAAGTCTGAGAAACTGCACTACTAACTATATATAGATTGCCTTGGAGATTTTCCAACTTCAAAAGTCCTCAGCGGCTCCTCAAAGCAAGTGAGCAAGCAGTTCTCAGGATTAATGTTAAACAAAGGTTTGGCTGTCCCGGTCAGTTTTACAGATGGCAACACTTGAAAGCCTGAAATAAACAGTACATCTTAGAGCTAACACGTTCAGCTACAAAACTCTGTTCCTCCTGGGTTTAGTTTTCAACATGTACTAACACTGAAGCTGAGAAAGATGAAACAATTTTCAGATGTAAAGAAACAGCAGAAATTTTCATCACCTAGAGTGTTACTACCCCAGTGGGCTTGTAGTTGCAGGGGGACAGAATAATTCTGGCTGGTTCAAACATTCTGTATGTGGTCCCACATGCACACATCATCTTCTGATCTCTTCAGAATTGACTGGACATGGCAACTTCAGCAGCTGCAGTTATTCCTAATTTGCCATCAGTACAGATGACAGCTCCCTGTGTGTAAACTAGCTAAACAGAACAGAAATGCCCTAAATCCAAACCATTCTAGTCCCATGTCTGTAAAACAATGAAAGGTCAAATATCAGCAAAATAAATCCTATCGATTTGAATGAGATGATCTTGGGAACTACCCCAGCAAAAATACCTGATATTCTCATTACAGCATGATTTGGTAAGCACTTCTTCAGGATTCGTTTCGTATCTTAGCTGCAGTTCTCTTGCCCATCAAACAAAAAAACAAAACAAAACAAAAAAAAAACAACCAAAAAACCCAAAAACACAAAAACACAAAAAAAAACCCACAATAATACTGAGTGTTGAAATTTCTTTTTTTGTTTAGCATTCAAAATACCCAACTTAAGGCAAATATCACCCGTTAAGAAACTCCATAATCTGGCTGCAGAAACAGAAGTGTAGGGAAGCAACTCGCACTGGAAAAGTAAGCTCAGAAATTTTGCAAAAGCAAAAATACATTTCTTACTGTATTGCAGATAAAATCTCTGCTCTTCTGCTATTGTCCAGAAATTAATAAATGAACATAAATTAGAAGAAAAATGTATCTGCTTTCAGTTAAAAAAACAAAACAAAAAAAAAACCCAACCCAAACAAAAAAAACCCCACAATGAGAAAAAACAAGCAAAAAAAACCAAAAAAAAAAACCCCAAACCAGACACAGGCAGCTTTCATTTAAAACTACCACAGCCATTAAAATTCTGCAGCCAACACTCACGTAGTTTCACTTTTGTGTGAAAGACATGAGTGCCTGACAACCAAAGTGGGCAGTACAGTGTACCAAACAAAAGGAAATCTGCTTAAAATGTGCAAGTCAGCTTCCCTGCTTGCATTCTGAGCTTGACTGTACACCATTCTTACTTCAAGAGCATTTGTGCTTTTCTTAGTTACCGCAAGTTGGAAATTGCATGCGGTAACAGCAGCACTCAAAATAGAACTGCATCTATTTTCCCCATCTGAAAAGCAGCAAGAGATGGTAGCCTATAAAGCCAATTAAAATGCTTAGAATGAACTCTAACTGAATGATGAAGTTTGTGATAACTTCAAGAAAACAATATCATATAATATATGCCAGACACAAAATAATGCCAGACACAGAAGGGCCAGAAGTGATAACATTTGATAAAAAGGCAAGCATGCAAAACAAGTAAGATGTTAGAATTTGATACAGAGGATGTGTCTTATAAATGAGACTTAATATTGCCTCCTTCCCCATCAAAAAAAAAAAACAAAACAAACAAAAAAAACAATAACAAAATGCAAAACAAAACCAAAAAAGACAAAACAGGAAAAATAATTATTTGATGATTAATTAACTAGTGGATATTGCTGTTTTACACAGATAATTATTTAGCCCCTCAATTCAAAAGTACAAATAGCACAGAACTTGAAAGAAAAGGTCTGACACCATTCATACCAAGAGTACATTTGAACTTGAAATCTGAGTTGCATTTCAATGCCCTCAAAACATGATTTGTAAATTTCAAAATATACAAAAGGCAAATACTTTCTGACAGCTGTGACTGACATATCTTAAATGTCTGAATTCCAAAATCAATTTTTCTTTCATTTAAAACTCCAAGTCCCATTAAACAACATGGACCTAAACACACAGACAAGTGCAAGTACGTAAAGGTATTTTCAAGGATATGCTGAAAGCATGTAACGTGAACAGGAAAAAGTTTTGACACTTCTTTGTGACTTAAGCTGACTTTTCTGCACCTGATCATCTTGTTTGTTTAAGACAACATTCTTAGCAGAAATTGTGTTGGAATGTTACCTGCACAGAAAGCAGACATCATGTCCTTTAACATCTGAACTTCCACCGCTGCTGTGACTACTTGGGCAAAATACTGACTGTGCACAGCCTGAGTCAGTTAGCTACCCAAGCAGTTATGCATGTGAGCAAAACACTTGCCATAAGCACTGACACATTCATAGTGTATGTAAAATAATGATGATTTTTTAAACGCAACACTTGGAGGTATTTTTCTCCATTTAATTTCTGAAACTTTGTTTAAATTCCAGCATCCAAGCCAGCATATTTTAAAGTAGAAGAAATTCTCCTGCATTTGCACATGAAAAGTATCAGACCTGCAGGACATTTTCCTCGCCTGAACAGGAAACCTGCATGTTTTAATTTTATGTTGATTTGCAAAATATGACAGGCATTCTTTACAAAACATTCAGAAAAGCACTCCCGTCTCTTACAGCAATGCACTCAATTATGCAAGTAGACAAACAAAGGACCCCTTTAGCGATTAGGGACTACAGTCAGCTAGTCAATGAGCTCTAACACTGGGTGGTAACTCCTGGCAACAGGGGAGACAGAGAAGACAGTGGGCTAGATACAAATAGCAGTCCTTCTTGCTATTCAGGATCAAAAGAAAAATCCAACACATCAGAACAGTAATGAGCCTGCCAGAAAATACAACCGAAGCACTGCAATTGAAGCTTTCTGTTATGATGCTTGCACTTACTACCCCACAACATTTGTGTTCTTCTTTCAATTAATACCTTAATTTTTTATTTAATTAGGGACCACATCAGCTTAGGTATTTTATCTCAGTTTTGGAGCTCTGAGGTTTTGTTGTTTTTTTTTTTTTCCTATTTATTACTTTTTAAAGAGGGTGAAATAAAGTAAGAACTGTCCTCACCGACTGCACAATTGATCGGGCCTCCTCCTCACTGCAACAAAAAGGGCTGCCACTCACCAGAACATTTGTGCTGAAAAATTAAAAAATGTTTTATCAATGGAAAAGAAACAACGCACAATTAGTACCTATGGAAAAAAAATAACAAAACATTTTCACATACAGAGCTCAGAAATGTATCGCTCATGAAATGAAGAAGCCAAAAATGCAAAGTAACAAGTAACACTGGAAGGCAATGAGAGTTTCTCTGGCTTTGGGTTTTTTTAGGCTATAAATTCTACACTAACATAAGCAGTACTCACACTTACTTCTGGCAGCTCACTTGGGTACAGTTTAGAGGACTGCAGTTAATAAACCCCTTGAAAAGTCAACAGAGAAACTGGCATTTCTACAGGGAGCTGAACACCACCTAGATGGCTAGCAGTGATGGCATGAATTACCCCTTGTCTCTTATGCTTTAAAGGACGGCCAAATTCTACAGCAAGCCACTCATATATTAACAGTAAACTGCCTGCAGCATATAGCAAGGAGAAAGAATTAAAACAAAAAGCAGGTCAAAACTCTGCTTTTTCATAAAGCAGCAGATATCAGTACTTCCATAATGCAGACACAACTTCGGGGCCAACTATTTTTCAGACAACCTTCTCTGCAGACTATGAATATGTATCTGTTCATAGCAGAAGTGAGTTTGGTCATGAGTTTTTAGGGTCTTAAACAACAAATGGCATTAATTTTCAAATCCAGACTGAGTTTTTAGTTATTTTTAAACTACATCAACAACAAGTTCAAAGTGGCCCTTAAACAATCAGGACTCAAAGTCTGAATATTTCCTGTAATATTCTTGTAGACCTTCAGCCTGCAGAACTACCAACACGTGTTAAGTGCTCAGTCACTCAAGAGTCACATTTTGCCAACAAAGTAGAAGAGGACAAGGCCTTCCCCATAGCCTTTGCCCTCTGGTTTAGTTAAAGGTAATCCACAGCCCTTGAAAATCACCAGTCCAGATAGCTCTCCACAATTCAAGGCCACTGGTGCCAGAAATGCCAACACGAGCCAGCTTGGAAAGCTTAGTGTAGTTCACTTTAATTTAGATGAGGTCAAAGGCTGGTAATGAGCAATGATGTGGCAGCTCAGAGAACAACTAAAAAAAATTATGGAACCCAAAGCTGCAAAAGAACATCACAGCGATACAGCACCGAAAGACAGAACTAACAGTGGCAAGATCTGCATGGGATTGTGTCAATCTCCCAAAATGATATCAAACCCTCCAGAGCCATTATTAGTAAGTTTAAATAATCTATGTCATTTTGATATAACCAAAAAAATTTCTAGAACCACTTACAGCCAGTTAATCATTATCGTACAAGGTGCAACTAGTCGATGATAGTCAATGATCAATCAAAATCACGGGTACTTTTGTCACTTCAAAGTAAAATCCAAGCAGTTGAGGCACAGCTGCCACAGCCCCAGCACAATGCAAAGAAGAAAGATGTGGCTGGATACTTACCATTTAACAGTACCTCCTTCTGCTTTTTTATGAAGCAAAGCTTTCCAGTATTCATGGGTTGATTTAATAATTTCAACAGCAAAATCCTAGTTTACATCAAGGAAAAATGTTATGATTTAAAAGGTTATTAAACAGAAAAAAAAAGACATAGAACTAGTTTATTAAGACACACTGGCTCATGTGTTATTTTAAGGGACCTCCTTTGAGGCCTCATTAAATTTCTGGGAAATATAACAGCATTTTTTATGAAAAAAACTGAGCTTCACTATCTGTCAAACACACTGGCAACATATTCAGGCCTTTCCTCAGTCCGCAGCCAGAAAACAGGAAAGCTGCATGAAAAAACAAAGTCAGCACTAGATGTTAAACAGACACCTACAGCTGCAGAAAATCATACCAGGTCCTAAATGGGACAAAGTGTGCGAGATATGACTCTTCTGTTACGTGTGCACATCAGGGTCAGAGTTAAGGTTTACTCTCCAGTGGCAAAATGTGCATTTAGTTCATTAATTGCCCAACCGTTCACTCAAGCATTTGCGACAAACAACGTAACGTTGTCAGCTGCTTAACGACTTTTGTTTGTTTAAAAACCAAAGTAATATGAAGAGGGGAGGGGGGAATTAAAAAGTGGTAGAACTTTTTTTAAAAGCCCTCTGTGTTCAGATGATGATATCTAGACCGAGTAGCAAAAATCTGCCAACAGAACACACACTTCCTAACAAGGAGTGACTTGGCAAAATGCCACTGGAACACTGTGAACTTCACCAGATGTTGGAGCTCAGCCACGGCTGCCTCACCACATCCTGGGTCTCTAGAAATGCTTGAGAATTATTCAAGTGCTCCAAACCAGCTATGTCAGGGCATTTAGTGCCTCGAGCCTGAACTCTGATGGCCTGACAGGGATATACCCCCATTAAACTGTCGCTACAGTAGAATTACAGAGCAGGAAAATTTGAAAGAGTAGCTCCTGGGAGAACAAGTGAGAGATCACGTTATCCATCCTTACAACTCTGCATTTGATTGATTTAAAAGACAGCTTTAGTGCAGAGGGGAGTCGGAGCATCTCTTTAAACAGACAAAACGCGCAAAGCTAACTGTGCTGGTTAAAAGGCATTTTACAACTTTGATAGCACACTGCAGGCTGAACTAGCTGACACATGAACACCATTCATTAGAAACCTGTGATTCTTCGCAAGAAAAAAGTCTACAGAGTGTATAGTACATTATTTGAAACGCATTTTTACTCAGATCACATGTGATTTCCTCTGGAAAAATCTAGGCATTTTATTCAGCAAGGTCTGCTCCCAGGCCCATTCTCCTTTCTGGCCATTTTTCCTACAGGATGTCTAAACAGCCTTTCATTTTTTCTAAAAAAGGTCAAAGTATTTTTTAGCCTTCAAGCCAAAAAACAGCTCAAATGTTCAGATCTACCCAGAAAAACCTACACCTTGAGCAAATATCAAATATGAGAAAATCTGCAATCTATTGTCTACCTTGAACTACACAGTCTTGAAAAATGCCAGGAAAATTCATCAATCAAGACTGAAAAAAATATCTGAAAAGACAATCTGTTCATTTCTCTGACAAACAGAATGAAAAAGCTGTGACAAGCAACACAAACCTACACATGTGTGTGTAAGTCATATCAGGGCTGGGACTGAATGCTTTCTACAGACTTCCTTTCATATCATATGAATTTTCTCTGAGTAAAGTGAAAGACAGTAAACATGACTTATTCCTATTCGAATACCTTCATTTAAAAATTATTTTTGTTAATGCTCCTCTCTCTTTCCAATTCCAACAATTCTAGAACGTAACAAAGAGGTCACAGCACAGAAAGATCCATCTTTAATTTTGAATTATCTTTACCTTGTCTTTAAATTCTCCATTAAAAGCGAACTGATTTTCTGGTTTACCATCAGGGACTTTATAACACCGGAACCAGTCAATCGTAGCTTCAAGGTAACCTGGTTTGTGCTTCCTGACATCATCAATATCTGCAGGTGAAATAAAACAGAACAAAGAAAGAATATGGACCTTTTTTTTTTACTCAGATTTTTTTTTTTTTGCAATTTTTAAAGGCTCAAAGGCTTGCTAAGCAATTTGATTTAACTGAGTACTCTCAAAATTATTGGGGAACTCCACTTTATTACATTAGCTATCCATAGTTGATATTTTATGATTTTAGCACCAGACTAAACAGTTACCTCCTGCTCTTCCTTAATTAAGACCCAAGGGAACAATGAATAGAAAGGCCATACCCATGAAATGAAGAAGAAAACTCCATATTTATAGGTTTCCATCTCAATAGGCACCCTCTTGCAACAATCAGATTAAAATCTGTAAGATTTTAAATCACCACCTCAAAACAAAATAGTCATCACTCCTCAACAGTTACATTAAAGGCATCTCTTTGCTCATTAATTCTAAGTTAAACCCATTAGATACAAGAAAGATATGTTACAGGAGCATTAAACAAAAACTTTGCTGAAAATCCCATGGTACCTGCAGACCATGATAAACCAGATAACCTTTTACCTCTGTAGCTCTACTGTGCAAAGGTGGAAAAGGACACACAGAGCACACGTCATCTGTGGGGCACCCTTAGGAGGCAGAAATGAACACTGTCTCAGTGGGTACAGAGTAAGTACTCAGTGCTGCTTGAGGGCTATACTGCTAAGCACTTTGTGATCTTAAACACTTCCTATTTCCTTCTGCTGCACATATACAATTTTACCTGGTTTTCCTGGGAGGCTACCACCACTCCTGTCACTTGAAGTGAGGTGGGCTTCACCCATATGAGTATCCACTCTCTGTCAAATTAACTCTCTGACATCATGTTTAAATAGAAAAGCCCTCAGTGCAATTTTTATTCATTGTGATACAAGGATTTTGTCCTTTCTGGAAGCCAAGCACTTTTTTTGCCGGTGTAGCTCTCTTCTTCACATTTATTTTTCTCCTACAGTCACTCCTGATGGAAATGGGAGCTGACTTTTTATTGCTGTGTGTTATATGCAGTTCTCCATCTATTTCATAACCTCACTCTGCCCAGTCCATCTTCTATGGCGTTATTCTCCTCTGCTGTTTTGCAAGTGACTTGCTCCCTTACTGCCTTCCTAGCATCTCAACTTTCACCACACTGCTCGGCTACTTCATTCTCTTCTCCCATAGATGCATCTCACTTGAAGACAGCTCTTGGCTCGCAGACACTGCTGGTAGATGCTCCTCTGTCTACTCAGCCTTACTCACTGTAACAGATTTCCAGAGGTGCTCAGTCTACCAGGTTACCAGCTAGTTACGTTCCTTTTATCTTCAAGTGCCTAAATGTCTTCTTAAAGTCTAGTCTGTGAACCCAAACCAGGACATTTCTAAAGGGAACAGCACTGGACTTTTTCCAGTCTCTTACTACAGACCTCTCAATTCTCTGCAGGCTGCTGAGAGAGATGACATTTAGACTTAACTGTGAGACCAAACGTGCACAGGAACATACGCTAAGTACTCATAGGCATCTGTAGATACCACTCCCAAATTCCTCTGGATCATACATTATCGAAAGAATGAAGTACAAAACCTTGTAGAACCCAAGGTACATTTTTGCTTCTGCACACACTTAATAGAGCTACGTGTTTATGGACTTGAGTAAAACACATTTTGAACTTGGCTGCTGGCCATGTGCCTGCAGAAGATTAGGGAGTTTCACTGGCAGAATCCCAGAGAAAAAGCAAGGGCACATAAGGCTGTGCCGGAGGCAGGTCTTCTAAGCTAGAACGCACATTTAAGAGTACAAGAACATTTCCACAGTTGTGAGATCAACAAAGAACAAATGATTTAGAAAACAGTCATCTTGTTCAGAAGCAAGATGCTTCATTCAGGCTCTAATAAAACAACAGCTCCAATTCAAACCAGGCTCCAGCACATGATCCTGTTCTCTCTCTAAAGAAGCGAACGTCCTTCCTCCCATCTTGACCCCTCGTGATTTCCTCCTCTTGCAAGGTCTGAACACACATTTTCTAGTACTTACTGAAGAGATACTGTAAAGTCCGTAAAGCAAACCAGTCTGCTGAAGCAATTTCCTAGACTCCCAGTGGTGGATGAACTCCAGGTTTGTGTCTCCAGACACTGCTTAAATTCAAGCATGCTTTCTCAGACTGCTGCTCCTTTTTTTCTGGTTCCTGTTTCGATAAACCTCTCACCTAACTCTGCCTCTCCGTTCTTACTAGGTCATTTGCCTCCTACTCCCACAAACACTGTTCAACAAAAGTGCTTCATTGTTTATTTGTACAAAACTACCAAGTGATATGTGAGCCCCTGTCACTCCTTATTTATAGGCTTTGTTGATGTTTGTTTAGAGGACCCAAATAACAGAAAAGGCTTTGGAGCAAGACTATTACCTCCTTAACACAAGGACATTGACCTTCATGGGCAGAATCGTCTCTGTGAATTTCACTTTCTCACTACTGGAAAATACCTGGCATAGGTAAAACAAATCAGGCCCATGCAATGCTGTACCATCACACAGCCTCTGAAGTACTAAATGTTGTATACCGTGTTTCTGAGTGTTTAAGAGGGATAGTGGTTGCTCGTATTTCCTTAGCTCCACCCAAACCACTCTCCAACTCAGCCAACCCTTCCCATGTTTTATTTATCTTTTCCTTACTACTATTGCTAGCAACAGAGCACCAAATGGACCTTAAACTGTCGACTAAAAAAAGAAAATTGTATTATAATGGGAGTTGGTGGACAAGCAACAGGAGAAAAGGCAACTTAAAAAATAAATAAATAAAAATCAACCCTGTTGCTGTGGAGTCCACACACAGCACAAAATAAAGGCAAACTGCAGCTCTCCCATCACTCAACAGCTACCTCTCTGGTTTATTAAAAAGCACCACGGACAAGCATGTCTCCCATTTTCTTCGAAATCCAACCAGCATCTTTGGGGTACCAAGTGGAAGTAGAGACAAATATCTTCAGACAACAGAAGAGCAAGCAAAGAAAGGTAAAAGGAAATATAATAATCTGTACAGAGATTTTGTACATTAATACCTATAGAAACGAGCTGCATATCATGAGAGAGACACAAACAAATAAGAGATAAATGTCTTTTCCACAGCAGACTCTGTCCTTGATCTTACCCTTCCTCTGACTTGGGTACTCCCACTGATAGCAAAGGAGGCTAAGCATGAATGGGAGCAATAAGCATGTACTTGGTCAAATGTGACTTCATCACTGCAAGCCCTCAGCGTGGCAGAAGACAGAAAGGTCAAGCTCCTGCAGGCACATTTTCAGCACATATATCCAGCAGGTACTATGGGGAGATTTCTTTGTACTGCCTACACACAACCACAGGTCCCATTTTTCTGGGCAGCAAAGTTAAGCAACAAGGATTAAAAAAATGGCTAATCATGTTAAAGGCTGCAACTCAGCCTCAATAACAAAAATCTCGAGAGGCTGGCACAAACAACTGCTGCTAGCTCTCTGTCAAAGGAGCGAGCCAATGCAAATGTAGCTCCCAATTTTATCAGGCTTTACAAAAGGGAGTGACAAAAGCATTTGTACAAAACTACCATTTTTAGTATGACAGATGCTGCTTCTTGCAAGCGAAGCTAAAACAACATGCTAGCAGCAAGCTTTCTAAACAAGGTCTGTAGGAAGACAGGACATATGTTTTTAATAACATCTTATAAACATTCACAGGAAGCAGCAGCTACATTCCATATAAAGGCATTTGGTGTATTTCGTGCAGCATGGTGTGAGGGAGTAGGAGGGGGAGCCCTAGTACAGATAATTAATTCCTTTATATTTAACGCTTACACAAATCCACAACAAAGGTTTTCATGGCCTCTGCTGCTGCTCTGCATATAAATACACTCATACGCAAGAGTATAAAACAACATACCGGTCAAAATGTGCAATATACTTGATTTTTGCCATTTGAGGCTTGATCATGTAAATTCAAAAAAGCCAATCTTGAGTTGTACATTGGGAAAGAAGCATGACAATGTATCACAGTTAATTACATCACTACCAGCAAACTGCAGTACAATAAAGCTGGTAGAAATCACCAACTTTTGTTTAATGTATTTGGGGATCTTTCCACCAAGCAATAGTATATAATGGTTGCTAAAATCCCAGGCCAGTAAATCACCCCAGAAATGCCATCCAGCATACACAATTGGCCCAATTCATCTTGGGCAGGCAAAACAACCTCTTGAAAGTCAGACCTTTCATAAGTTGCTTCAACTGTCAGTCACTTTCAGAACCTCTTTTCCAACATGAAGATGCTGCATACATTCAGACCAAATTACAGCACCAAAACAGGGCTCATCCTTTCTAAACCCGATCTTGTAAAACACATCAGATATACATGTGAATTTCAGAGCATTAAATTCAATCCAAATTACACGATGAGCAGACAGGCAGCCTTTCCAGTCCAAGAATCTGCTTCTTCTCTTGGCCGGTATGCTACATTTAAGAAAAAGCCAGGTCTATTATACTGCCAAGATTTAGTGTTTCAGGGCACAGGGAGTCTTTTAGGCCCTTTCCCAGATCCTTGTCTGAAGCAACTTTGTTGGTCTGTTAATAACCATCTGGCTAGCAATTGCTTGAGCAGAAAGACAACACAGTGGTTTCCAGGTATCACAAAGACAGCTCTTACTGAACCAGATAAAAACCTGAACATCTAGATATTAGACTAAACGAAGGTTTCTCATATAGACAGCTGCATCTCATGTGCAGCTTATATCAAGAGACTGTCCTTGCACCCACCCATATTAAGTCCTATAAAAGCAAACTGATTACATTCCAAAAGTCTCTGCTTTTCCCACTGATGACACAGCTCCCAATCCAGCAGGTGTTGAGTATTGCTTATCATTCCTGCGTACTGCCACTACAAACCAGAGCTTTTTACTGCTCTGCGTGAAATAGGGAGTTCTAGGCAGGGATTCCAATTTAAAACAGTATTTATCCATAAACACCTGCAGGACAAAATACAGTGGAGAGCTATGAATAAACAATGAGGACCGCTCAGAAGTTGGGACTGCTCAGTTGTAAGTTCTGCGAAGTCTCAGAAAAATCAACTGCACTTATGAGAACGATCACAGTCCCTGAAGGAGAATATACAGAGTACCTGGGGTGTGCTTAAAGCAGCAAGTGGAGTTAACATACTGCGTGGGCTCAGGATGGGGTTTACAAGTAATCACCACTCCAGAGTCTTAGAATTATCTTCTCCAAATGTTCACTGGGGGCTGTGCACATACTGAGCTGAAAGCAAATGTGATGATTCTCTGTTCAATTCAAAATGTTTAGCAAATGATGCTAAAACAACTGGACAGACTTGGCCTCATCTTCCCCTAGGAGGCCACTACTGATAACATAGCAGCACGTCAATTATTGAGGGAGATATCAGTTTTATCCACAGCTGCTGTCCCTTTATGCAGAAATAACTAACATCTTCAGGAAAGGGAAAAAAGATTATAAAAAGATATATTGTATTGCCTACTCCAACAGATTTGCTTGTTTTTAGAACAAAGAAGGACTGCTGTTAGACACTGCAAGCTAGTCATGTTGTTTTTTGGTTTTTTTTTTTGTTTTTTGTTTTTTTTTTAAATACAGGACTAACTCCAACCCTGAAAGGAAATCATGTTAAACTAGGTAAATATTTTTCTATGATCTGAACCTCAGAAAGGCAGATCTTCTTGAAATTTTGCTTCCATTCTCTGATAAGAAAGCATACGCACAGCAATTACAGGCGAGGGTTTGCATTTAAAAAAAGACAAACTCTCACTCCCTTGCTAAACAAACCAAAGCTAACAGCTAACACACATCAGTCATAACCTGTACAAAAGCAAATACAATACAACCAACCTTCTGTTTTAGAACAAAGCTACTTAATCCAGTGTTATAAACTCTCTGTTTTATTCCTACTACTCAGTTGAACTCTTTTAAAATTCTTTCATCCACTTTTCTGATGAAACTCCCACAAATTATTAAGGAAAAAAATATGAAAACGAACAGAAAAAATTACAGAAATAAAATGTTCATTATTTGTCTTTAAACTACTGACATTTATATCACATCCCAATAAAAACTACAGGGAGGTTTAAATTGAAACGAACAGTAACAGCAAACGATTAACTACTATTTCCCCAAGCTGAACTTGTTAATCTCTAACTGCAAAAATAGTTAGTCATAAGAACTATACGTAATTTATCTGCCCCAAGACTTCAATCACTATCAACCCAAGAGTTTCCTTTTCCTCATTTCCTCTTCTCCCCTTTTTCTCCTGCAACTATCTCCACCTCAAAGCAACCTTTAAGAAAACTGGGAATGAATGGCCAGGCCAGTGATATACCCACTTTACATTCAGAAACCAGGAAAAAGACTCAGTGGCTGAGAAACACAATTCCTCAAAATTACTGGATACCCCTACTCCTAAAGAAAGGCTATTCTGTGCCTTGGTGAGATCTGCCAACAAAGAACAGGCTCTGACCATGAAGACTTGATGGTACATATGATTTCTGATCTCTTAACAGCCATTAACTGCCAGACAAAGCTCACATAATTCTCATGAATCTCAGATTAACTGCACTCGATAGAATGAAGCTCTGTTTATCCAGAGGAGAGTTGTACCTTATCTGTGCCATAAAAGCCTAACTCCGTCCAGCTTTAATGTATTTATATCCTCTTCTTAAAAAGAGAAGCAAAATTATACCTCTCATTTTATTCAAACTACTGCACACGTTTTACTTAGTGAGCTCCATTTGGATACCAGAAGCATAGTCATAAGGAGGAAGACTGCACAGAATACTTCATTGTGCAAAGCCAATCATCTGCAAGGCCAAGAGAAGGCTACATCAAAAGTTCACTTTCCAAATTTCCAAGTTAATAGGAGAAACCTTACTGTTTATATTAGCAACAATCGCTGGTAGTAACACAGTTACAAGTCACAAAACATTGGAAATGCTTCACCAATAAGGAAAACAGCAGTGTGCTATGCAATCTGAGTGGATAAACATGTACTACTACAATGGAGACAAGACTAATTTTAGGAGATCTCTTTCAGAATGAATTGTCCCTGAAGACAGAAGAATTTCAGTATATCAAGTCCTCCGAAAATCCCCATCTACCTTTCCAAAAGTTCAGTATGAAAACATACATGCCCACTTTGAGGGAAGCATTTAAATTTAAACAGTGAAAAAAGAATTTTTTTGTCTCTTGGCTGTCTGTATCCTCTTGTCCTGGGTGGTGTAAACTCAGGTACAGCCATTCAAATGGGTGACATAATTTGCATTAAGAAAGGTAAAAATGCTTACCGTTAATTTTCTGGGCTTCTGGGTCATCCACACCAATGGCAATTATCTTCCAATCTGTCTCTCCTTCATCAAGTAGAGCTAAAACACCCAAGACCTTCACTTGAACAACCTCACCAGAAGAACGAACCTAGAACAGAATATAATAATAAAAATATGTGAAAAATGCTTTCTGGAATTTCTCTTCCAACAAAATGGTTTAGTATCTGTTTGGCCAGCAGCTAACAACGTTGCAAGATAGACCTTCAAACCCAGTACACGTCTTGCCTTAGTTAGCCCAAGAGATCCCTCTTTCAAAACCTTTTATGTTATTATCCCATCTTTGGTACCACAGCAGATTAATCCATTCTTTGCTACGTCCAGATAAAGAGGATTTTATTCCAGTGTGCTAAGCCTTCCCTTTATACCTCCTGACAGTGTTTACTGTGCCTCTTTTTCACCCACCCACTCCATACCTTATAACTGCAATGGGTTCTTCTCCTCTATAGAAGGAGGGTCTATCTCTGCTCCACCCATGAGAAAACTGAAATTTAACCCCTTTGTGGGGCTGACCTTTTAATCTTATTTGTGTGACACTGCCATATTCCCTCATCTTTTAGTAACTCAGCTTTATCTCTAGCGCTGCTAGCTGGGGAAAAAGAAGGAAGTCTTCTCCTTCCTTCCTCAAAATGTTAACTATCTTTTCCTTCATTCAAAACTCTCTGCCCAGCCACTAAACTCCAAGAACTCCAATATTCTCCTTTATCCAGCACTCAGACTTCTCCAAATATCTTCCTACTTCACAAAGAACAAACACTGCTCTCTTATCTATTATCAGACCTATCAGACACATTTTAGTCATCCCAAGATTGACTATCGCCTTTTCTTGCTTCCCACCAGCCATTCTCTTTCAAAAGCTGTAGCCAAAAGCTGTAGCATGAAATAAATCTTGACAATGACAAACCTTTGAACCTATCTCACAAACATCAACGGGATCGTTATCCCCACAGCATCCTGTAATGTTATCTGTATGGTTTGGATCTTCCCAGGTCTGTCAATGGAAGAAGAATTGAGGGTTACCAACTGATCTGCGATTACTATTCATCTAACCACTGAATTACTGAGTGGTTATAAAAACACCAATTGAAAAGTCACCTTACTGTGAGCAGTAAGGTGCTTACTCAATCGGAAAAGAAAAAATTAAACCAATCAACCAACCAAAACTCTGGACAACCAACTGACTGAGGATAGATAACAGCAACAAACAGATCAACTCTGTTTAAGACAGAACAGGCACTTCATGAAATAGCAGTGATTAAGCCAGAAGAGGACCTAGAATATATATAAAAATATAAGAACATATATATAAAAATATATATATGTATATATATTTTTTTTTGTTACCACTACTTGTGGGCTTAAACTCAGATACCCTACAATCAGATTCTTAATATATTCTTTAGATGTACCTGCACTAGCATAAGTTCTCTTCAAAATCATCTAGACTTTGAGCTGACTAAGTTACTAGGTATGGTACTGTCAGCATCCAATTTTTTGAAGTTTTGAATTTAGGTCTGAAATACCTGTGAGAGTTTTTGCATACACAGATGTACACATACCCAAGAACAGCTAGCAATTGAGACTAAGGAAGGTTCCCTGAGAGGTAAATTCAAATCTCTGCTTTAAACTCTGTATGAACAAGGAATCATAACCACATTAGTATAACCTAATTACAAGACCAGTCCTTGTTTTGTCTCTTGGAATGAAAGGCACGATTCTACAGCTGAGAAGTTTTTTCTGGCAAGAATTTTAAGACAAATGAGCTTTTGCTGAAAAGGTGTTGGAAAATATTTTACATGGTCAAGCCTTCAGCTCATATTCTTGTTCTTGAGAGCCTGACTGATGCTAAAAGGTAGAACTGAAAAGCAAATGCTCAAGTACGTAGACAGCAGTATTACAAAAAAAAAAAAAAAATTACTTAAGTGGAGCGAGGGGAGAATTTCAATTTAAAACTTATTTTTCCAGTACTCTTCCAAAGCACTTTTTCTTTTAAGACCTCATTATATCAATACCATTCTCCAGCCCAGCTGTACTTCTCCACCTGCAGTTCCCATAAAAACAGAGGAATAGATCAGGAATGGCAGTATTCTCTGGACAGGAAAGCAACTCCTGCAATAATGATAATCCTAATGACATTTTCCTTCTTTGTTCCAGGGTGTAAAACAGCAGTCACAAATACATATCTCCCTTGTACGTGACAGCGAAACGTCTGGCAACTGCTGACACTGATGAAAAGTCCTCTTAAGATAATGGATAAATAGAACTGGATCAGGCTCTGAGTTAGTGACAGCTGCTACTAAGAAACCGGAGGATAATCTACACTTCAACAATTGGATGTGTTAGGATCCAAACAACCTTTTCAAGTCATTACAGAAAAGAAAAACTACTATCATCTCCAGCCCTGTTACCAAATAGGTAGTAAGGGCAGCTAAATGCATTTCCTAGGGTCTGTTTTATCAGTCCAGCAAAATGCACATCATTCAGGAGATTATTCAGATGTTTAATTTTAGTTTTGTACTAAGGAGCAAACAAATTTCAAAGTGTTAAATGGACTTGTTTTGCTGTTCTTAGCAATACCTAACTGGAAACTATCTACTGAGACTGCTAACTGGATAAGGACTTCATTGCTATGCTCCACCCCCTACCTAATATCTCCTTTTCAGGGATGAAATGCGCAAATACGTTTTCACAAGTAAATTTTCACTGCTTTAAGCGTAATAAAAAGAAACTATCTTTTCTAGCTCCATCATGTCCTTCAATACTGGCTTAACGTTAATGTGCTATTCAGAGAAATGAAAAACAGTTGTTTAAAACTTAAATTATGTCAAAAACTTCAGCCATTAGTTTTTGGTTTGTGTGTGCTCAAGAAGACTCAAACACAGTTTTGAAAGTGCCACAATCAGTAAAGTCTTCCCGTTTAGAGCAAAGTTAGCTAAGGCAGTTGAGGTTTAACCTAAAGAAAGATAGGGCATCTTGCTCCTCTTTCTTAAAGACATTAAGAAATCCTGATTAGCATTTATGCTGCAATACATGGAGATCCTAAATGAGTTTTTTTTGGTTTTTTTTGTTTTTTTTGTTTTTTTTTTTGTCTTGCTTAAACAGGAAAAGGCTACTTCAAGAAGTATTTCTGACTTGATTTGTCAGATTTAGAGTTGCCTAAGGGCCAGAGTTTATGTTCTCATAATACTCAAGAGTGGAGCTAGCAGACATCTGGCAAGCAGAGCAGTAGGAATCAGGCATATATTGTAAGGATGAGGAAGGTGCATGGGAATGCTTCATTTACTTACTGTGAAAGATTAGGACTACTTCCTCGGCTGTATTATTTGAGCCATGCCTTAGCTGCTGGAACTGTGGTGCTGGACTTCAGCACCAGTAGATTCTCTATGGACTCAGTGCCCAGAGAGGCAGTGGATGCCCCATCCCTGGAGACAGCCAAGGTCAGGCTGGAGGGGCTCTGAGCACCTGATGGAGATGTAGGTGTCCCTGTTCATTGCAGGGGGGTTGGACCAGATGGCCTTTAAGGGTCCCTTCCAACTCAAATAATTCTGTGATTCTATGAACAAGTTTTCTTGAATGGCCATGATAATTTAATTCTGTAACTACAATTCACAGACTGAATTGCAAACTGAAGATTCAAAATTTCTTGATTATTTAACTCCCTCCTGAAACAGCGCTCATATTTACACCCACACCCAAATTCTGACAAAAATTTATGATGACAATAAAGCTTTACATAAAAAAATTCTAATTTCCAAATTATCAAAGAGAAACATCCCTCTTGCAGCTGATCTGCATTCAGGCAGTACTCAAGATTTACAAGGCAATTTACACAGAAGACAGAAAACTTTCACCATTATAACAAAAATGTTACCTGAGGGAGAGCACCATAATTCCATATATAACCCTTGTGAGGAAAGATATTTGCCACATATCGAGGCTTGCCTTTCTTTGTATCTTGTTTAATGGGATTCAACGGCTCCTCAGTGGCAATCTAAGCAGATCATGAAAGACAAAGAGAAAGAGAGAACTGTAAAACAAAAAGCAATTCATTCAGTATCCAACCATTCAGCTCCATCCGGGAGCATGTGCTTGTGGTTTGAGGAGTATTAATAGTCTGATGGCCCCACAGTAAATCTCAAGGGTCATGTTCAAAAAGTTGCTTATTAAGGTTTTAAATAATGCTGTGAAGTATGCAGAGGAATTATTTCTAGAAGAGAAAGACATAAATTTATAAGGAGACAGTCACGGTCAATCGAATACTGAAAAGAACTTGCTCTTTATGGTACAATTTCAACAGAGATACAAATGGTGAAACAAGTTCTTCAGACAACAAGGGCTTTGACAGCAACAGGGGAATTATTTCATCATCCTCACACCCACCCCCCAGCCACTGCTCTCCTACTGCATGCATCCCTTCTCTCCATCACTTCTAAGCATACAGAAGCTTTTTGGTGAGGACATGTTCTGTGCAGGCACTGCATGACAACTTCATGTTAGTTTTGGAACAAATTAAATTAGCATTAGAAGGCATTCTTACACCTGAAGTAGCACTCCTGGAAAGACTGGACTAATTATTACAAAAGAGTTTATTACTGTCATAATCCTTCTACTACCTCAAATATAAACCCAGCAGCCTATCTACTTAATTCACTTGCACTGCCCTTTTGCCACTCCACATCACAACAAAAACCCACACTAGCTTGACTCACCTGGATGCTGTCATATCTGTTAAGGGCTTGGAGCACGTGCTGGTTCAGGCCATACACATGGGCACACAGCACTTAGTTCACATCCATTTTAAAACATCCTTACAATTTAACTAAAACACCAAAAGCAAAGTCATCCTAAAGGAATTCAAACTGTTTGGGCCACAATGCCCTGTCAGTAACGCACATTTATTCCATGAATAAGCCCTCCCACACTTATTTTCACACCTGATATCACTGCTTCTTGTCATAACCTAACAGGGAAGATGGGGAACCTGGGATTACGACAGAAATGGAGCTCAGTTATGGTTTTTCTTGATATAAACTGAGGCAAAGAAGATAAAGTGACAACAGTAGGCAGAGGGCCAATAATGTCTCATAAACAGCACCTTCAGTAAAATCAAGGGAAGGACAAGAGAAATGCAACAAATGTAGCAGTGCAATACATTCTTTCAACAGCAAGGTTTAATTTCCTACAGTCTCCCTTCCAAGCAAGGGTGCCTCAGCATAGAGACAGAGAAGGGCTGGTATTGTCATCTTACCACAGTCTGTGCTGAAGGACTTACAGGACACAACAGCAAAGCAGGTCAACTCTCTGTCCTAACAAAGAAACTTCCAGGTATATTAAAATGTGTGTATTATGTCTGGTATGCTATCAAGCCAGAAAACATCCAAATCCAGTATTTCTGAATCTATCAGGACAACAAATCTTTCTCCCCTCAAAGTAACATACCAAGAGAAGGGGAGAGAGAGCAAAACTGGAAAACTGAACTCAGATTCCTCAACAAACCTTCATCTTACAATACAAGCCAATTATCCTAAGCAATCCTTTTTCTAAAATAACAACAAAGGTGGTAAAGACAGTTCAAATGATATTCCAGCATCAGGGAAAAAGAGAAAAGGTTCTGAACAAAGAGGCTGGGGAGGTTTTTCAGGGTTATTTTTAGTTATCAAAATAGTTCATCAGCTAACTCGCAAAATTTCTTGAAAGCATCTGGAAAACATTTCCAAAACTAACATGAATGTTCAGAAAGACAGAAAACACCCTTGTGAGATAAGCTTTCACAAAATCTGTAGATGAAGCATTACTTAGCTTCTACATTGTAACAGCAGAGGAACAACTCACCCAGCTCTACTGTTAAAATAACTGCAGAAGGAGATACTTTGTATGAGTGAGGACCTAATGCGTTTTTTTTTGTCAAAAAGAAACTTCCTTTATTTGTCACCTCATTTGTCAGGAGGCTGCTATTACACAATAGGAAGTGAGAGGAATTCAATCCTAGAATGGTTTGAGATGAAAGGGGCCCTGGTCCAACCTCCCTGGATTGAAAAGGGACACTTACAGCTCCAGCCCCTCCAGCCTGACCCTGGCTGTCTCCAGGGATGGAGCACCCACCAGCTCTATGGGCAACCTGTGCCAGTGCCTCAGATCCTCTGCCCTGAGTGTTTCGTGAGTGAGCAGGACTCAAGCTATGTGATAAGACAGTGTTCTGCAGCCCAGCGCCCCAGAATCTGCTGCAGGTATGCAGTATCCTGCAGTCAGACGGCTGTCAGGAAGGAATACCTGCAGAATGGGAACAGAATTCCAGCCTCAGAGCTTTCTATAATCACACTGGCAATGTCTGTATGCACAACTTCAAGTTAATATTTTAACAAACTAAAAACAATATCTATAAAGAGCAATCCACACTGATTAAACTCCAAATACTGGAACCCACTGTATTGTCACTACTTTCATAAATACCTATATATTCAAGTATTTTTCTTAATTACCTCCATTTTTGCATTTGTCCAACGAGGCACTTCTACAACCATATTAAATAGGACCTAAAATAAAAACAATTAAAGAACTGAAAATAAAATCCACTTAACAAGTAATATTTTCCAATTTAAAAAATTCTCTGTGTCTGGCTGCAACATACAACAAATCCCTCTATTGCTGCTGCTTTTACTTAAGTACAATTTGTTTAGCTCCTCACAGTAATATTCAGCCTCCTCAGTTCATCCTTCACCCATTCACCTCTGAGAATATGAATGAATAATGGAAATACACAGTTGTTCTTGTTCCAGTACCAGTATTGCTCGTATTGCTCTTCACAGAATGTTAAATAAGCCCATAGAATGGTTCACCAGAAGGCAGTATTCTGTCCACTAGTCAAAAAAGACTAAACATTTCTACATGAATGTCCTACTGAAAAGGACAATGCACTCTCTCACAACCACCACAAGGATTTATTTCTTCAGGTCTTCTTTTTTGCCTTTTTTTTTTTTTTAATTAAAAAAAATAGAAAACACCTAAAAGCTACTGACAGTGCTGATTGTCTGTCAAATCTATTTGAAGCGAGGCACAATGAATCCAAAGGCAATGGCAGAGAAAGGATGCAGATACCTCACCTTAGTGTAAGCTCTTTTCATTGTAGAGACAAAGTAAAAAATTAACAATGGAGGAAAAAAAAAAAAAAAAAACAACACCTAAGAAAAGCCATAACTGCTGTAAGGTTTCACCTTCTGAAGCTATCAGATTTAAACACCAAGGAGAACAGAATATTAAACAACATGGGTAACTAGACCAAACCCAGCAATGCCTACAATTATTTTCTCCGTGAGTAATAATCCCAAATATCACATTACCTGAGACACATCTTCATATAAAAACTTGTTGGATTATTAAAAACGGCACCAGATTAGGAAAGGTCAAAATATGTTCTTGAGGACATTTGTAGTAAAAAAAAATAAACCGATTGAAGAACAGTACTGACTCTCAAGCTGTACCATTAGTAAAGCTGTGGCAGACACTTAAATATTTGGATTTTTCCTATTTTTCTGCTCCAGTTACAGCAAAAAAATACCACTAGCAGGGGGAATGCCACAGTCTGATTAAAGTCACTCCAATGGTTTTATGATCATTTCCCCTCAAAACTGGAATGCAAGAAGCAAGAAGGCAGCTTTCATGTCACCCACTGTCTTTCCCATGAGACCACAAGCTATACACAATCCTGATGGCAAATTACAGTAGATTTAAATGAAATTTGCCATCTTTAAGTATTGTGCCCATACTGTAATCACTGGCATTTAAGTATGTCATTATTAGGTCATAATTAAGCACATCAAACAAGAGGAAAAGGAAAAAAAAAATAAAGGAGAAAGATGCTCCAGATCACTTCCATAAAGTACATTTTACGTATATAAGCATAGTTGAAACTGAGAAGCCCTCAAAGAGAGTTCAAAGACATCAACACTAAGGAAGCAGCTGCAGAGCAAAGAAATGTACGTGCAGCAGCAGGTAAGAGCAAGGCTGGAAAAGAGTCAAATAAAGTTTGCACATCCATCTCAGAAACATTTGGAAAAAGAAATGCACAGCATGGAAGCCGGTGCTGACAAGAAATTGCCAGCAAGTGAAAGAACTGTTTTGACTGGCAGCTACAGGCAGGAGGAGGACAAACTTCTCCTGCAGTTACATACAATGCCTCGTCCTCCATGAAAATCTTGTGTTGTGAAGAATGCGACTGCCTATTTTCCTCACCACCTCAAATACAACAACCTGTAAATGCTGCCTGGAACTTTAATTGGCCCTCACTAGAACAATTTTCAGGGCTGGACCACAGCTGGATGGAAGCGAATTACAACGCTTCCCTCAAAAGGAATGAGTTGGATTTGACTTGGCTTTAAGACCAGGCCTTCATAATTTGTGGTATCAGTCAAACATGAACTGTCAGGTCTTAAATGTGACAGCCAGACAGATTAATTCATATGCAAAAAACAAAACAAAACAAAAACCCAGCCCCAGAAGTACTTTCGCTAATACTAAGCTGCCACAAGCATCTACAAGATTAATTAACAAGCATTTACAAGAGATTAATAACTTCATGCAGTGCTTACCTTTAAAAATAAAGTTTTATTTATAGGGTAATTACATTTTCACAGTGATGAGGCAGAATTCACCGAAGTGGAAAGAGCACATATTAGACAGTTTGACAGACAGAAAGAGAGATTTCTATTGATTGAGATTTCAAACCTTCGATTTCTCTAGGTTGTGGGTTTTGTTTTGTTCTAAAGTTGCTTCTCTTTTTTCCTCTGCTTTCCTACTGCCTTGTTTCCCTGCTTGCCTAAATGTCATCCAGGATTCCTTCTCCTTCACTCTTACACTCTTTTTCATTCCAATAGGCATCTATTCCCTCCATCCACTACAATCCTCTCCCTCAAGTGCTTGCTGCAGAACACTCCTGGCCCCAGCTGCAAACAGTAACATCTCAGGCATCACATGTCTGCACAGATTACCACCTGCATTTGCCACTTGGTGGTTAGCTTTGGCTGGTCATTGTGTCTGGCAATTGATATTCTTATCTTTCATCAGTAAAACAAAAAAAAATTTCACCTCAGGATAAAGCCACGTGAGCCACACTTCTACCCCCTCAAGGAAAGGTAAGATTGCTCCAACAGCCCATGGCACACCTTCCAATGAGAGAAAAAAAAACAAACCCAGAAGCTAATTTCTCATGAAACAAAAAACTACTGCTTTAGGAAGTTTAGCATCTAGCTGATTTAACATGCCAGCAGTCAGCTGGTCTGCCTATGAGATCACTGCTTGCCAAAGTCCAGATTTTATCTAGATTCAGAAAAAGGGAGCGAACTCATAAGCTAGGGAAAGTGACCTTATAGGGTCCAGAAGGATGTTTAACCCAAGGTGTCATGGAGTTTGTTTGACTTTGGGTTAATGTGAACAAAGGACATATGTTTGTATTTCTGCTCCATTATATCTGGAGGAGAGAAAAGGAAAAAAAAAAAAAAAAAAAATCAGCATGGAAAGGTCAAATATATATTTCCCAGTTCCTCGAACTCAGTATGAAAATAATGAGAAAATTACATCAGAAAAAGAAACTCTCTAAACAGAATCCTTTATTATCTAAGGACAGCCAAACTACATCACATAGGAATTGACGTAGGATGTAAATAAGTGTTTGCATTAGCAGGGTGTTTTCTTCAACAAGGCTTGGCAACTTACTGCATTCCATTTGAATTAAACTGTTTTTAATGTAAAATCATTTCTACTTCTATTACTCAATAGAGAACAGGGAGGGTTTTTTCTTTTTTCTTTTTGTTGTTGTTTGCCTTTTAAGCACAGAGATATAGAAATATTACTCAGAACGCTCATACAAGTGTTGAGAAAAGCACGGAAAATCCACACCGTTGTACCTAGGTAAACTGTGGGACACTCATCTCCACAAATGACCAATGGGAAAAAATTACTGCCGGCTCTGGTTTGTTCTAAGAAGAGATTCTTAGAGAAGATGGCTCATTTTGGTCAAGGTTTGTTACAACAAATTTGAACACCACAGGTAAGCAGAAAAGAAATTAAGCACATTTCTGACACTACTTTTGCAACCCACCCTTCTGGATTACCATTAATCATTCTCAGAAACAGTTTTTCTTCCTTGCCTAACTTTTGCCCCTCTTGCTCAACTATTTTATTTCTCAGTCTTCCTAAGTTCCTGAGTTGGTGTATTTGAGGGGCAGGTTTTGAATAGGTACAATTGTGCTCAAGGATTGCAACATATAACACTCAACTCTGAAGCATCAGCTTATTTGAAGAAGTGAAGCAACCCATGCAGAACAAGAAGAGTGACAAAGTGAGAGAGATGAAGAGGAGAAGAGAAACTCAGTATAATTATTATCTTTGTAATATGCTCCTTAAGGCCTGACTGCCATTCACCATCAGGACTGCACGAGGTAAGCTGAAGACTAATTGTTACATTAGTCATTTTTATAGCAGAGTACTTTAAAAAAATATATCTGACAGTATTAAAGGCTGCATTCTGGGGCTACTGACCCTCCTCATAGAGAAACTCGGAGCTCACAAGACAGATAAGAAAAAAAATAGCTATGATTTTCATTTTCATTTCTGTCTACCTGCTCATTTGCAGTCTTACAGGGATTCTCACCAGCAGCTTGCATTTGTGGACTGAGGAGAATGAAAAGGATGAACTGCAGTCTAGTGCTACCAGTCTGAACAAAGAGTAGTGTTTTCAGTAACATGAGTTTATAAGAAGACAGAAAGACAAACAAAGGGAAAACAAAAAGAAAAAAAAAAAAGGAAAGTAAAGACTGGCATGAAATACAACCAGAAATAAATGAAGAGGGTCTTGTTCATAAGATGACACCCTGTGTTACAAGCATTTCTGATATAACACTTACTATGAGGTGTCCACCAACAAAAACAGCAAAGTAGATATCAGTAGCATCTGGAGACCAAATACTGTATCTAAAGAGAAGTCAGCAGAACTTTCCCAAGACAAATTAATAGAGCACCTTCCAAAAAAGGAACACAGTGCCCACTGTAAATGTGAAGTGCCTTCAAGCTCTTCACAGTGTCCTTCCCTCATGTTATACTGCAATGAGAATCAAGAACATTGTGGAAGAATTTTTATCCACAGATATATGAACAGTGATCAATTAGTTAGCAGACACATTCACCTGCAGAACTACTCAGGATAGAACATTGACAAAGATGCAAATAAAACCTCAGATTTCAAGAAATCAATTCTCTAAAGTCAAGCCTGACCACTGATACAGCTTTCACAGTAAACCAACTCTACTCCAATAAATTTCCTGGGCAGATGAGAGAAGATTAATAAATACTGAGAAGAATAGAAGTAATCTAGAATAACAAAAAGGAAAATTTGCAGCTATTGGAGAGATACACAGAAAAAAGCTAGGCAACTTCACACATCAGGGTGAAACCTTCACAGATAATCTAGATTTTGGAACACAAAACTCTTTGTAATGGACCTACTACAGCCCAAGTTACACACACCAAAAAAGTGTCTAACATGACTACAGAAGGTTACAGAAGCTGTAGTTAAGAGAGAACACACAGCCCAAGTTTTGCAGCTGCATTATATGGGACATAACGCCAGCTTTTCCCTGCTTATGGAACACACTGCCTTTATCGTAAGACAACTCTGACACCACAAATGGGAACTCTGTTGCAAGCATCAGGCCCTCAATCAAAATGCCTATTCAGACCAGATGAGCACAGTGATGAATCGTATCTCATCCCACTGCCTAATCTATCAAAAGGTTTTGCCTGACAGAAGGAATTCAACTTAAGTCCACAAAGGACACAAGAACACGACAAAACCAAACCTGTCTTACTTCTTTCTGCTATTTTTCAACTGCTTTGGTAGTGCCTGAAAGTTAGGAGTATAATTTCTGCGTGCTTGGACAGATTAAGGCCAATGTGTTACATAAACCTTTGTATTTAGGAACACCTGAGTCCCCTGAATGACATAATGTGAACACCAAAGACATATACAACAACAATAAATCAGAAACTCTTGCATTTCAGTGGGGAAGCAACACTTCACATTAGTCTTGAGAAGAAAACTATGACCTCTTCAAACCTCCCTGCCAGACTTGTAAGACTGTAGTCAACAGTCCATTCCTGACAGTTTTGACTGTAACCACAGTGGGAACATCCATCCCTTCAGACACAAATGTGAAACTTTGGATGCCTTTCAGCAAGATTTACTCAGGAAGAGCAGATTCCAAGTGCCTGCAATGCTAAAGACAAAGCAGAGGTTCAGACTGCAGGCTGGCAACAGTTTTGGGACTGAAGCTGAATATGATTTCTTCCAACATAGCTTCTCCCTGAAAGTAACTCCTTTCAAGTCTCTGAACAGCCAAAAGATCAGTTGTCAACAACAGCTGCAAAACTGAATTTAATAGAGATTTGGGAAGGTCTAAAACATTGCAAGAAAGAAAGGTTGCTTACAAGATTTAATACACAACTATCACGGCTTTTCCCTTCAAACTAGAAGCTGAGACTGCAGAACAGCTAACAGGCACATTCCTTTATCCTGTAAACAGACTCCTTTTTTTGAGACCTCCTTCCCTGTATAAGAAATGCAAAGAACAATTTAAAGTTAGAGAGACTGAGCAGACTCATGCAGAAATTGCATCTTTTTCCACTCCTAAATGTATTTGTTTATTAAGTGCTACCTTGAGTTTGAAAGCAGGAGCATGAGTTTTAACTTTGTTCCTAGGGCAAGCAGAACTGTTACCTTTGAACTTCGGCCAATTGCAGCAAGGATCAACTCAACACCCAGTAACAACAGTAGCCTTTGCATCCCTAGACCAAGCTATGGAATATAGTGCTTCAAAGATCTTCAGAAATCAGTACAGAGCATTATATGTCTCATTTTCTCTTTATACCCTCATTGAGCTATACTTTTCCTGGGATCCCTGCAGGGATACATTTCTCCCTAGGCAAAGGTGGCAGTGTAAGACAGAACACTGCTTTCCTGAACACAAAGATCCCTTTCTCTTCTCTCTTCTCCTCAGCTCCCAAACACGGTGAAAAAAGGTTTCCTAAATGATTTGCACTCTCGCCTTTCACCACTTAAGACCAAACAGATTTGGGAAGTTTGCAGACTACACGTTCGCTTGCGTACTCACATGAGATGCTCAAAGACCAACATCTGCATTTGCCTTTGCTCCTTTTCCACCGCTTTATGCAACCACAGCCCAGAGTTCTCTCATAGTGAGAGTTAAGTGAAGCAGCTCTAGAGTCTACCCTGACCCAGAAAATAAGAGCTGCTCAGCTTCTCAGGTTTTTTTTTCCTTATTTGTTTTCCCCATAGAGTGATCCAGAGATTAGAAAAAGGGAACGAGAAATACTGTTTTAAATGAACTACCATACTTGCCCCCTACACAGACAAAATTTAGACACTGCACAGAACAGGGTTTGCATTTCTGTAAACAGCAGATAGTGTCACAGTGCTCAAGACCAATAATTAAGAGTTCATGTTGCAAAAAGGTCAAGAAAGGCTATTGGGACATACTTCTTCTCCTTGTCAACTTATCCGTCAGGTACAATTCTACATCTACCAAATAGTACTCAAAGGGGCATCAAGCAGCAGGAAACCCACTAAGTGTCATACAGCTTAAAGGTGGAAGAAATACATTGTGCAGGACTGTGTGGGGACTGGTGTACAATACAGAAACCAGCATGTCCCATGCTAGTTGTCAACCTGTAAGAAGATTTCAGACAGTTCTTTAACATTGGATGGATAGTTACAGTTTTGCAATATGACTCGTCAAACAGATAGTAAGAAGACAGAGGGATATGGGGGAAAGAAGAAAGGACACAGGAAAACACACGTCTTTGTTTTTTCAACTGAATTTTATCCCCCACCAAGGAAAGCAAAAAAAAAAAAAAAAAAAGCAAATATGCAAAAAAGCTACATTTTGGAAAAGACACTTGCATAAACAACTCTGTTTCACAGGAAAAGCTTGAACAGACTGGCCATGTTTCTTCTCCAAGGCTCAGCTTTAGTGCTGGTTAATACTGAACCAGTAGCAGATGTGATTTTCTCTCTTTGGGCTTACTAAATGAGCACAGAAAATGATACAACTTCAGGTGTAAAAAACAGGAATAGTAATTCTAATTTCTGCCCTACATACTTACAATCTCTTAAGTTTTGTATATATACCAAAATTAAGCCACGGTCAAAGCATCGTGAGTATTTCACTAATGGAGGTTTTTTACTGAAAATGCTTTTGCCAAAAAGAAAATATATCTACACTGTAACAGTTAAAATGAAACTCTGAAAAAGCAGTATAAAAGTGTTCATCTTTGAGAACTTTTTGATGAATAAAAGAATTCTAACATTTCTGACTCATTAAAGGAGGAGAATATTAAACCCCTGTAAGTATTCTTTTCCTGAAAGACTTGCATTTGAACATATGTTAACTATATTCAGTAAAAGATTACTTTGCAGAAAAGCAAAATGATGCAAAGGAGGGAAAAGAAAAGGAGGAGGAGGGAAAAGAACCCAGCTGTACCTCATTTCCTGTAGTTTTTGACCTCTTTGCAGGAATCTCTTTATCCTATAAGGTAAGCGTGAACAAAGAACATTAGAGAGCAATCGTGTATTCACATTAATACAGATATTACTAGTTTTAAATGCAAATGAAACACTCTCTTTCAGGTAGGAAGGCACAAACAGTAACTTTTAAAAATAAGTTGTTGGTCCCATTTGATTGTGAAGTTACAACCTTCCCACTGTTAACAGAGCAAGAGAAAAATATACATGGACATATTTACTTCCTCTCTGCTATGCAGAGATTTCAAGCAGCAGTTTAGGCACCAGCTGTTTAAAACACATCAGTCATCCTTCTGCTCACCTGAACAGAATAAAAAACAAAACAACAAACAATATGGAAAATAGGCCTGGAGTTATCCACCACAAAATTAAGTTCACAAAGCTTAGATTAGAAGAGGCAAAGAATATAACACGTAAGCCCTAACCTCCTCATTTTGAGAAGAGGGTAAAAATAGCACCAACAACTCTTTTCTGGTGTTCACATCCCACAAGAAGCTCTGAAGCTCTTTCCTTGCTCACACAGCCAAAATGAAAGGCTCTCTGCATTAATCAGTCATCACTGTACTATAATTTAGTCCACAGAAAACTCACAGACCACAATCCTTCTCACCAAACAAACTCTTGAAGCAGACCCAGCAAGGCCTCCAAACAACATGTGGGTGAAAATGCCCCTTGATTTCATATTAATAGCACCCAGTCCACAGAGCATCTTAGTAATGACAGTTAAAATAATTCAGGAAATTGGTTCATTACTCAGATAGAGACTTGTGAACACACTACAGCTGTTGACACATCTCAGCAGTCACATCACCCATAGAGTCCCAGCAACAAATCAAGAGAACAGCCAAAACCCTCCCAACCTGTTTGTGTAACAAGTGTACCATAATAAGCAAACCTAAGTCTAAACCAGAGACTGTCAGTTCCCACCAGTGACATATAAAACAGGCGTTTCATTATTGCCATAATGAAACTCCAGGGAACGTGGCTAACAAGACGTGAAAGTGCTCAGCTGCACCTCACGCCTCGTAATTCTCTAAAGGTGCGATTACCACTTCTCTCTCGGGCATTATTGTTGGCTTCCAATTATAATCCTCCTTTTGGGAATTAAAAAAATACACCAGAAGTCACATAAGTATGTGCTGTACACGTCCCACAGCAAGGAAACGCACGTTTAACTGCAGACATAGACAAAAATCCATTTTTTTAAATAACAATAGGAAGCGAGCTGAAAAAACCTGGGAACACAAACTTTAAACAGAGAATTGCTACATGGTACTGAGAGGGCTCTCCATACCCTCAGTCACCTGGAGATTTAAAAGGACAAGTGGTTTATTTACACAGTTATGATGCTTCAATACAAATTACTGAACTTCACTGGGAAAATGAGGTGGAGTTATCTCACATTATTACTCAGACTGGCTTAAAATGCCTCCTCTGGCACTACAGACTTGTCTCTTAATTGTTTAAAAAAATCCTTTTAAAAGTGCATTTATATCTAAAGAGTACTCAAAGTAAAAATACATACCTCTTTGGATCCAGCAAAGAGTGGAATATCATGAAATGGGGAGATATATTTACCATCAGCATTCTCTGAAAAATAAAACAACAAAGTAACATTACAAATCTAGATATACATGCCGTAAGATGTCTGCACTAGTAACAACTATTATGCAGTATAGAAATCTATGATATGACAACATACCCATCAATTAAATCTCTTCCTGGAGTTTAATTCCAAAGACTGAAAAATAAGCTACGTGCAGGACAACGTATTTGATTCTTTGACAATGACTTACTGGAATCAGAATTATTGATTTGGTATTCAATACCACACTTCTCTTTTCTACCTAGCTGGCAATACAAGCTATGGAAAGATGAGAAGATCCCTTCCTTGTCTTTTCCTTTCTTCCTTGGTAGTACACAACCATTAACAGAGAAAAAAAAGGTGTGGAATACTCAGGGAACCTCAGTTCCATGAGTGATCAGTGAATCCCCATGGTCTTCTAGTAGTATAGCCCTGATGACTTTACTGTATTTCTAGTGAGCTAAATTTCACAATCACAAAGAGAAAATTCTTCAGCATGCTGAAATCTGATGAAGAGAACGTACAAGCGATGGTATAATAGCTTAGGCCCTAGATATGAAATGTGATAACCTCAAATCCTGCAAAAATTGACATTACCTTAATGGAGGCCTAGTCTGCACCTCAGCCTTGCTTCCACTATAGAAAGGAACAAAATTTATCAGAGTAAACGCTGAAGCATTTCAAATCACTTGGAAACTCTTCAATATACCGAAGCCCAAACAGAAACAGAAACATATAATAATACGTTTATATACAATACAAGACACTGATCTCAAGGAGTTCCTTCTTTGTTAGCACTCCTCTTTATGGTAAATGGAAACACAAAACTCTTGATTTACCTTTGGACAACCTCAACAACGAGGAATACATGCTGGCTGTTTTCATAGAATGGCTTAGGTTGAAAAGGACCTTAAATGGACCCTGTTGTGAGCAGAGCTGCCACCCACCAGATCAGACTGCCCAAGAGACCATCTAACCCGGCCTCAAACTCCCCTAGGGATGGGGCATCCCCAGCTCTGGGCAGTACGTTGCAGTGCCTCACCACTATGAGTAAAGAATTTCTTCCTAACATCTAACCCAAATTCCCCTCTTTTAGCTTAAAGCCATCCCCCCTTATCCTATCAGTATCAGGCTGTGTAAAAAGTCACTCCTTCTCCTGCTCGAGGAGGATAAAGGCCTCAATGAAGTCTCCCTGGAGCCTTCTCCTTCCAAGCTAAACATCCCCAACTTTCTAGGCCTATCTTAATAGAAGAGGTACTCCAGCCCTTTTATCATCCTTGTGGCCCTCCTCTAGACCTGCTCCAACAGCTCCACATAATTCCTGTACCGGGGGATCCCAGGCCCAGACACAATACCCCAGATAGACCTTAGAAGGTCAGAGCAGAGATACAATCACCTCCCTCGCCCTGCTGGCAACTCTTGGAAGCCACCCAGACCACCCTCTTAATTAAAGCAAAGTTGAGTGGCGGGCTGCTTGCTTCCACTGACTGACATGCCTTGCAGCTCCCCGGGGACTGAGCACAAGGAGCCCTGGCAGAGCAGTGCCCACAGGGCACGTGATGACTGCAGACGTCAGAGGTAACTCCTGAGAAGCCGACGAACTAAAGACGTACACAACAGCAAAGTGCAGTGCGGTCAGTGTAGTTAGTGACACGTGTAATGCTGAAGCTCCCGCTCCAGGAGGCCTCCTGGAGCCCTGCCCGCGCTCTCCCAGTGCCACCTTGCTGCTGCTCACGCTGCAGCCCTGCTGTCTGGATGCCAGTCTCTCCTCAGCGTGACGTCTCCAGGAGGGCTGGCCTGGCCACAGGGTACAGGCAGTACTCCCACAGAGCTGACACAGTGCTGAGGCGAGGCTCCTTCTGCCAAGCCCATCCTTAGGCTCCCCAGTGCCCCACGTGCCCCCAGCACCCCCACACCCTTCAGGGAGCTTTGCAGGGCCCGTGCAGCGCACACACCGGCCCGAAGGCCCTTACAGGCCCAGCATTTCCTCCGAAAGGCAGATCTGCCGGGAAATCTCTTCATTTTCCACGCAAATCGCCCCCTCGGGTAGAGGGGAGCCTCGGGGCCGACCCCTCGAGCAACGCGAGAGGCCTCAGCGGGAGCGGCAGGCGGCTACCCCCTCTCCCCGCCGTGCCCCGTCCCGAGGCGGAGAAAGAAGGAAGGAAGGGGGGGGGAGGTCACCGGGCCCCGGGTGCTGCTACTTACTAAAGTAGAGGCGGTAATCGGGAGAGTTGGGCCGCCCCCGCTGCTCCGTGCCGTAGCGGGCCATGGCGGTGAGGCAGCGGCGCGGCGGCCACCCCCACTCCCGCGCCGCCAGCAGCCGCCCCAACCCCGGCAGCGCACGCATGATGGCTGCGACCGCCTCCCTCCCCTTCCTGCGGCCGCCGGGCCTGCGCCGCGCCGTGCCGGCCTCCTGCCCCCTGCCCCTTGCCCCGGCTGTCCCTAGCGGTCCCCGCCAGCAGGCCCGGCTCGGCCCTGCAGACAGGATGCTACTGCGACAGGGCTCCCTCTCCTTCTGCCGCACCGACGCGGACGGGCAGCAGCAGCAGTCCGTACCGCCGCGCTGCGCCTGAAGGGAGGCGCGGTTCTCAGCCCCGAGAGGCACAAGATGGCGGTTTGCCCCGAGGCGGCAGTTGTCGCCGGGTCCAAACTGTGGCTGTGGGGTCCGTGAGATGGCCGCTTGCCCCCAGCCGCGGGAGAAGGGGACAGGGAGGAAATAGGGGCATGGAAGGAGTGGTGCCATGGCAGGTTTGTCAGCCCCAGTGGAGGTGTGACGATTGCCATCCTGCCCGCTCCCTGGCAATAAAGTGTTCCCTTCTCAGTACACGGCTCCCACTCCTGCACCAGGGTAGCTGGGCTACTGGCACTGATTCCCACAGATAGGTAATGCTTGTTATATTGAACTTTGCTGACACATAAATTAGCTTATCATCCGTATTCTCTTTGTAGTGGTTTTGTATTCCTCTGTAGACGATGTTTCCTGCAGCATTGGTGGCTTTGAGTTCTGGTCTCTTTCCCTTCATCCTCAAGGAGGGTTACTGATGGATTTTATCCGTGGATACAGGTTGCTTCTCATCCTCTGTTTTTCAAACATTCCTGAGAAGGGACTGCTTTGTTTCACTGATGGAGAAGCAGGCTGAACAGTTAGTGTTACTTTATCACTCTTCAATCTCAAGCCAGTTGTCTTTGGTGGTCAATATCGATTTTGGATTTTAACCCTGGTCTGAATTATGCTGGAAGATTTGTGCAGGATCAGGTCCCTTGGTTGGGAAGGCCTCACGGTGGCTCACAGGGAGCAAAGGGGCAGTGCTCAGCTCTGCTCTCTGGGGACAGAGATGGGGCCTGAGGGAACAGCATGGAGCTGTGTCATGGGAGGGTCAGGGTGCTAGGAAAAGGTTCTTCAACAGAGGGTGGTGGGCATGGCATAGGCTCCTCAGGCCAGTGGGCACAGCCCCAAGCTGTTGGAATTCAAGGAGCATTTGGACTATGCTTTCAGCTATAGGGTTTGGGGTTTTGGGTGGTCCTATGTGGAGCCAAGAGTTGGATTCAATGATCATGTTTGGTCCCTTCCAACTCAGGATATTCTTCTGTGATTCGTCTGATGTGTGCTGGTAGTTGGATTTTTCATGACAGTGAGGGCTCTGGATAAAAAGCTGCTATCTTCTTTCTTCTCTCTCTTTTTCTTTTTCTTTTTTTTTTCCCTTTTGTGTGTGCGTGCATGCCATTGTTTGCTAAATTTGTCACAACAGGCTGATCTTCAGGAGAGTACAAAGGGTCTAGGAGTAGGCCAGTTACTCATATCCACAGAAGTTGCTAAATAGTTGGTGTTTTGTCAGAGGTGTTGGCATCTTTCTTTCCCAAGTTCACCAAATGCCAGGTTTTCCAGGGTAACCTTCTGTCTTGGACACTTGGGGTTTGAAATTCATCATGTAAGGTGTCTGCTTGAAGTTCTTTGTGTTTTGAGTTTGTAAGAAGGTGAGTCATCCGTTTTTCATGTGGGGAAATAAACAAAACAAAACAAAACACAACAGTAGAGAATCTATCATAAAAAAAAAATCTGTTCTGCATTTTCTTTGAGTTGGCCTGCTGCTCAAAAAGACAACATAAAAAACAGACATATGCCATGCACCCACTCCCCTGCTTGGGTCTGGCAAATGTGGGGTTTGTTTATGGAAGTTCAGAGCCTTTGAAAAATTGTTTACTGAGTGCACATGCAGTATTTTTACATTTACAACGTTGGCAGTTGGGTGTAGTATTGTTCTAGGAGGAACCCAACATATTTATCTCTCCATACAGGCTGGGAAGTAAAATACACAGCTGTGGTCAAGAGTTGCTGTAAGATGCATGAATTCTGAGTGCAGAGTTCTCCTTTGCCGTGTGAGGTCTCATCTGAACGCTTGGAATTTATGAGATATAAATGACTTTCTATTCAGGCTCTTTTTAGGTGAATAAAAAGATGCCATCCTGTTACTTTGCAATGGTGAATGATACGGTAGAAAAACACATGCAAGACCTGTTAACACTGCCAGAGCAGAGGCCTTACTGTTTTAATACTCCAATGTATCAAAAATTCTTCTAAAACTACAGAAATAATGGTGATAAAGCCTGAAATAGATTTGACAGTGTTTCTCAGTATTATGACACAAAACATGACAGAAGTACGCACAGTATTCCTAAAGTCAGATTTAGGCGATACTGCAGCTTCCATACTTAATACTATTGAATCTTTGGAACAAATTCATGTTTTGATTCTCATATTTAGACGATGCAAATTCTCTAAAATTACTAAAGCTTTTACAGGCAAGGTTTTTGGTTTTTTTTCACTTCTTTTTGTTCCCAAGCATTTTACATCCAAATCCTTAATATATTGGGCCAGCAAAAGGTATGTGTAGGACTGATCCCATTCATTGACCTTGAAACAGGTCCCACTGAAAGTCGATGAAAATATTGCTATTTATTTCAACGGAGTTAGAAGCAGGTCCATAAGACTTAAGTAGGGTTTACATGGTACTTAGGTTTTATGCTTGCCCTCTGCACAGGGGTGAATCTCATTCCACAAGAGTACCACTGGTGTATAGCAAAAACTCAGCAGCAGTATAATCACCTAAGCCTGAAGGACATCCTTCCTTTAACAGTTTGTACTTGGCACTGTACGTTTACTTTTTTTCATATATATGCATTATGTGTATGTTTTGCTGGTGAAAATGCCCTACAAATTAAATGCAGAAAACAATTTTTTGTGTTATAAATAAATAATGATTAAAAGAACAATTTCCCTTTCTCCCAAATGAAAATGGTTTTCATCTTTTCAACTAATAATGCTTTGCAGACTGTCATTAGGACCACAATGTGCTATTTCAGCGCGTTAGCTCCTGACCAGCGATTACATCATTATCATTAACTTTGCTATAGCATAACTTCTATCTCCACTGCCTATCAAACCATTAATCGGAAGGAATCAATTCCTGTCAGCCTTCTGCTTTGCTGCTCGCCACTGCAAAAGGGCAGCGCTCGCGGGCAGCTGTCCCCTTTCCAGCCTTCCTGGTGAGCATGTACCTGCTTGCCCTTGCTTGTCAGTGCTCCCGTGTTGGGGCAGCACTGTTGCTCCCTAGTTCAGGTTGCACCAAGCGAGGCCAGCTGGAGCAGGTTAAAGACAGCTATGTCAGGCTGCTTTTTGACTGAAGCAGGTTAAGGAGCATGAACTCCCTCTACCTACTTGCAGACCTTTGCAGTGACAGACTCGAGCAGGAAGAGGAAGACAAGCTGCTGAAGTCAGTAACCTCTCTCATTGGCACAGCTGGATTTGGGAGAGTATGTCAGTGCATAGCCTACTCACACAAGCATTTGTGCTCTACATGCTGACAAATACCTGATGGCAGCAAAAGTCTACATCATCTAATTACAAGGAACAAATTGTCTATTTTGGTAACTAGAAGAAATTTTATTAGGTTACATTATGTTCCTAATAAAGATTGTGACTGTGAGGCACAGATTGTGAGCCTTTTTTTTACACTGGTGAACTCACCTGAGTAACACTATTGCTTTAAAAAGATCAATCATCAATATTTATGGGAAACTGGACTTCTGTCTAGAATGTGGTGTCCTCGAGAGGTGAGGATCCACATCTGTGTTAAGCTTTGTCACAGAAGCCTGTTTCTTCCTTCCTAGACATCTGTGCTCTGTTCATTTTAAGCCCCTGAAGCAGAGATTTTTAGTCTACTGTGAGTCCCACCTAAACTTGTTTGCAACTTAAATTTTTTAAAGACTCTTACCTTTGTTACTCTAGAGCAACTTCTCCATCACGAATCAGAAATGGACAGTCTTTCCTTTTTCTTTCATGGCTGTGTATGTACACAAAATCATAAAAATGAATAGAAAAGAAAAATAGTTCCAATAAATCTAAAAAAGCATTGTCTGGAAACATGAAGATTTAGTGCAAAGCTGCAAAATTATACTCATTCAAAAGAGGGACCTACAGTGAAAATTAAGTCTTTTCAATGCATCCCTTCCCTCTCAATTTTCAAATTGTCAGACATACAATTCTCAAAGGATTCCTCAAAAAATATTTTACCTTTGGTAATTCCTACACTCCCTTTTTTGCATTAAAACACAATAATGAAGATTCAACCTCCTGTACTTTCATTTGCCTCTCTCATTTACATGTCTTTCCCTCGTTAGCTTTGATATCACAGTGCCATCTACTTGATGGACAGAGTCAGATTATTTCCCTTAGCAAACTGCCGCACTGCTGTAACCCTGCAGAAATCCAACATCTGCTCAGTTTGATCACCAGTTCTCCTCCACTCCTCCAAGCCTGCACCTTGGAAAGCTGGCCTGGCTCCGTGCATGTTTTGTGGGCTAATAAAACGCTCTGGTGGGACAATGACAGATCCAACTGCACACTAAGAGCAGTTCAAGCCCTGGTGACCCCTCTCCTTCTTGACAGATGTTTCATTTGAAAGCCGGGTCCCTCTCTGTACACATAGAGCACTTCAGCCCTTTGGACATATAAACTGGGGCAGCAGCTTTGTTGGGAGTCCTGAGGCTTCATGGTAGTCAAAGGAGCTTGGTTGCAGAGCCTGGTAGGTTGAGCTGTTCCCTCTTTAAAACACCCGCAGCCTGTTCCGAGCCCTGGAGGTGTATGCTTTATTAATTTCTCCAACAAATATTTAGAGAGGAAACACTACAGACAGCTAAAAGAAACGATCGCTGTGCGCTCACTTCCAAGGACCTGTTTCTCTACTGGAATCACCAGTCTGGCAAGATCAGCAGTCAGAGGCAAGGTGACATTGCCACACAAAATTACTTCCCACCTACAAGACAGGCTTTTTTCTTGCTCTACACTATGGAAAGGTTTTTGAAGTTTTTTTTTTTTTTTCCCTATGTATATTTCAAAGTAGTTTTGATTCATTCTTTTGAAAGATGAATGTGTAGTAGACTTCAGTTTTACCTATCCTTAAGTCTTCCATTTTTATTGCTTTTATCCTCATCTGTCATTCTTTTCTTATCTTACAATTACAGCCCCAGACGGATAGGGTGAACATTCTCTCAGCTTCCCAGTGCTCAAAGTCCTTGGTGGGCCTTTCACGTGAGTGCTCTTATCACCTCAACATTTTGTCTCTCAAAAGATATCTTTGCTCTGACTCATGCATACAAGCAGAGCAAGAAGAGGTACAGGCTTGCTTTTATCTGCACCCAGGTGTGTGTGTGTGGAGACAGGGGGCTAATAGAGACATCTGAGCCCACTGCTGTCACCTCCCACCCGTGGAGGGGGTGGGACTGCTCTCTGTAGCATTTCCTTGTACCATGCTGATCCTCTGCTACCCACTGGGTGTAATCGCTTTACTGTGCAGAGAGGAGAGCTAATTCCAAGGATGTAGAGAAGCAAGGATGAGGAGCAACTGTGGACTCATCATTAAACATACTGATTAATCTACCCTTAATTGTCGTGGTGGGTCCAGAAGGGAATGTGGGCACACCATTTCCCATCCTGAAAGATTTCTAATGTTGGCATTGAGCTAAATTTGTTTGCTGCAATTTCATGCTGGCTGGTGGGGGCATGGTGCAGTGCATTAGGAGGCTGTCTTTTCATTGAGTGGCCACTGTGCTGAGCAAACCTGAGGTGTTTCCTGCCATGCTTCCTTCCACTGGCAGGGAACAGCATGATAATCAGCCCACAGCAGTACACTGAGTGCTCTGGGATACCAAGCTATACACCAAGAAACTGGGATACCATGAAATACACCGTAACAGCTGTGAGGAACTACAACAAAACAAATAACTTAATGGCCATCAGTCTTGATGGCGTTCCTGGTTCATTTATAGCTCAGGATGAAGATAAAGGTTAACATTGATCGTAGAACAATAACCTCTTATGTGCAACTACTACAGTTGCTTGGGAACACAAAGCCAATATTTTACATGTTGACACCAGCACCTGTTCTGTCTCGTGAGCGGAGAGGTTCCATGTAAATATCCCGTATGTGAGTGCTAACATCCTCTGGCTTCCAATTTGCTTAGGAGAATTAAATAAGCAGAACATCCAGGGGTCAAAGAGATATTTGCAATGATTGTAAAATGAGCATTTTGTCCACACAGATGCCAAATATTCCCTCTTGTCTTAGAGTTTAGTAACTTTGATACAGTTCAGCCATCAGTTGCTACCATGGCCAGAAGGGAACAGAAGCTGTTCAGTCATTGAGAGCTGGTTGCTACTGCTAGCTGAGTTCATGTGCAGTTCTGGTAGTGCTTTCTCAGCTGTTTTATTATAGTCCAGGTGAAGTACAGCAAACAGTAGTAAGATTCTATAGGGATTACATCTGGTTGCCTCTATATTAAACCTCATGTGGAACATGACTTCAGACATGCTATTTTCAGCCCTTTCCATAGTAAGAGGCACAGAGGAGATATTGTGAGATTTCAGAAGGCACTCTGCATTTCTAGACTGTGTTGTACAATAGCTTTGGGCTCCGTGCTGCCCCAGAAATGCTGCTGTTGCCTGGACTCAGACCACTACTTGCTCAAAGGCAGGAGCAAACCACAGTTGGCTTTCCCTGCAGCCACTTCCTTGCTGAATGAACTCAAACTTTGTCAGACTGTGAGAGAGTAGTGGAGGAAGAGGAAGGCACCTCTTGCATGTGGGCAGATTGCTGTCGTAATAAACACCTGAACAAACCATTATATCTTGGCTGGAACTCTTCATGTGTGGCAGAGAGCCTGCAAAGCCAAGAATTTAATAAAATTTGTTCCTTCACCTCCACCCAGCCAAAGTATATTCCCCAGTTTTCCCTACAGCAATCTTAATTTAAATAAATATAATAAAATCTCCTAGCGATGATGAGATCTGTGCTTTCAGAAAAATGGGCATGATCCTCAAGATCCTTGGGCACCCCCTCAAGATCCTTGAGGGGGTGAATAACTACTCTGGGCAGTGCCAGTTTAAGTAACTACATCTAAGCAGCTGCTCACATGTACCCCTGTGTCCCTCCCTTGCTGCAACTGCTGGCAAAACTGTGTGATGAACTAAACGGGAGAGCAGATCCAGATGGAAAATGGCCCAGGGGGAAGTCAGGGGGCTTTCAGCCAGATCACCTCCTCCATCCAGCCTCAGATGCTCAGCTTGCACCCTGCCACCAATAATGGGAACAGGATTCCAGGGGGAAGGGGACACAAAGGGTGGTGACCGTTTAAACCAGTTTTGCCACCCTTGCTGAATGTCAAGCCATTGCCTGGATAAAAAGAAAACAAACAAAACTCAGGAAATCCCCAGTGTAAGGAAATAGGGCAGCCAGTTTCCCTCAACTCCCACCTTAATCTGTTTATTCCTTGCTGTGATGCTAGTCTCTGCTCCCTGGGCAGCCTTCTCGCCCTCACTGCTGTGCCTCATTAGGAACTGTTGTGGTCTGTCTTGCAACACACATGGGTTTCTTGGGGAGTAGCAAAGGGGAGAGGAGATGCAACACATGGGCTGCCTGCATACTGTGTACCTTCTCTGTGCCAGCACGAGCTCTTCCTGGTATCCTCTGCTTTAGTCCTCTGCCAGGTTCTGTGCAGATAGGACACTTTGTGCAGCACTGGCACTGCACCGTAATTTGGCATAGAGAATTGCTTAATCGTTTCTTCATCTTTTCCTTACTCTGCAGGGTAGAAATGAGGGACTTTGGTCAGGAGGCAGCGTCATAGTGGACCAAGCTCTTTTTGGATAAACACAAGTTGGAGATGCATTAACACTGCTGCATGGTATCCCTGTACTCATCACTTTGTCCTGCACAGTCCTTGGGGATGCAGCATGGCAACGTGGCACCAGGGCAGCTATGAGCTGTCACCCACTGGGCGTGTGGCTGCCTCACGCAAGCAGGCTGCCCACGGGGCTCCTGATGCACTGCTCCCTAAAAGCAATGGGGCTGCAGGGCCATTGTCACTGCTGCGGCCGTGATTGCTGCTGACGGCTGTTGGGGCTCTTGCCAGGATAAGTCGGGTCCAAGCTGAGATGCCAGCAGCTCCTGCTGTTTTGACATGAGTTTGATTAGACCGGCACGACATGGCATTCACAGGCAGTGCCTGAGTGCCAGGGGCCATTGCTAGCAAATAGGATAATAAGGTCTCTCCCAGTGACTGAGCCAGGGGTACTGTGAGCAGCTGTTTTGCTGCCATCAGAGCACAGCAATTTGTCACAACAGCCTCTCCAGGTCCTCCACATGCCTCAGTGTAGCCTTGGTGTGTGCTGGCCCTTCTGTGCTCCATGTCTGGGCTTCTACCAGTGTCCCTGTGCAAGAGGAACACAGCACTGAGTGGCATTAGAGTGGGTCGCACGCTGTTTCTGACCCTGCTGAGGGGTTATGAGCGCCCTGCAGCCAAAGGAGCCAAGGAGCGTCCCCCGAAGTAGGGAAAGGCAGTGGCTGCAGCTTGGGCTGGCTCTTAAACCGCCCCCCGTAGGGCTTACATACACGCAGTAGGTGAAAGCAAACACTGCCTGGGGCGGCAGCTTCCCGGAGGTGGAGCCGCACCGGTACAGGTGGAAAGGCTGAGCCTTCCCCTGAGCAGTGAGCTGCCTGCCCAAGATCACCCCTCATCTCTGGCCAGCCTGGCCATGGCGAGCACGGACGGCGTAGGAGGCCGGAGGAAGAATTTGGCCCTGCTGCGGCACAGGCTGTACATGGGGGAGAGGAGGAGGACGGAGCCCGTGGTAGAGAGCAGCGGGGCAGGGGAGCACGGTGCCTTGCGCAGGAGTCAGTCGGACAGGACGGAGTACGGCCAGAAGCTGCAAGGTACCCGGGAAGTGTGCTGGGTGCTGCGTTGCCCGTGCTGGGTGGGAGCATGGTGCCTGTGGGGTGCTGTCTGGCTCTGGAGATGGGCATGGCGGGCGCTACCCAGGCACCTGTACTGCAGGACTGAGCGATTGCCCCTGCTCACCACTCACGTTTTCTAAAACCAATCTTGCACCCAGCGCGTGAAATATAATTGAGGTCGGTATGGAGGTTCTGGTGTGTTCCTGTGCAATGTGTCTGCAGCGGGGGTCTTTCTCCTCTTCTTGAACAGAACACATCTGCAACGCAGGCAGTGACTTGAAAAGGCCATGCCTCCACCCTTGGTTGTCTTTTCTTACTGCACATAGTGAGCTGTACACTGACTGATCAGAAGCATTGAGGGCAGTTTAGTCTTTCAGTTGAAAATACCAGCATCTCTAATGTGTTATCTGTTGCTCAGATCGTATGAGCCTGAGATGAAATACATCCAAATGCATGTTTTGATGGATATGCTGGTTTGAATTATACCATTATGAAGAGCGTTTCTTTTCAAATAACCAAGTTGTGCCTGGGCCAGGAATTGCCAAATTATGTCAGTTCTGGGCCTGTCAATTACAAATTAAATGCAATGCCACAAATGGAGGAAAAAGCATGAAAGATGTGCATAGCTATTTCTGGGAGAGCTCTGAAAAACAAGCTGATGGATTTCTGTGGATTTTCAGGGTCTTGAACTACAAGATCTCATCACAAATGTGGGGTGTGAGTACTATCACGATATAAACATTTATTACTAATAGTGATATAACTGCCTATGACAATCACTCTTGTGGCAGTAATCCTTTATGGGGAAGTAAAGTAGAAAAATACCTTAGGTTACTGTATTATGGTTTTGATGCATTTAATTAGGAAGCAATTTTCTTTCAGAGAGACAATAAAAGCAGAAAATAAAATAATAAACTAGAAAATAATAGGATTTATATGGGGGCTGCATATGCTGACAGCAACTGAGAGCTTCACTGATTACAGCGTTGCCTCCTCGTGACAACTAATCAATGGGGAGATGAAAGATGTTCAGTGAAGTCGGGCATGGCTCTGGCAGAGGTGCTTCGGGTGTGAGTGAGAATCGATGCGGCCGCGTGGCCGAGCTCCCGGCACACGTAGGTGTGTGTCTCTGGAAAAGCAGTTTTGCTTGTGCAGTGGACTGCCCATGTCAGCTCTGGTTGTAGAGTGGGATCCAGCCAAATGCACCAGCCCTTCCCCTCCCACACGGTGCACTCATTCTGGTACTGTCTCTTGCTAGAAGTCTGGAGCAAAGGAGGCAGGGAAGCCTTGGCTGGCATGGCAGTGTGTGAGGTTACGCTGATGGCCATGGGCCAGCATGGTGGTAAATCTGGCTTTGCAGCTCCCACCTCCAGCTGAGGCTGCTGCGGCCACAGATGGCAGAGTGCCCACCCAGTGCTGGCTTGCTGTGCATGCTTATGTCTGCACCAGAAAAATGCTGGTGGGTAATGAAGCACCTGCAGGCTTTGCATTCAGTCAGAAGTTGCCTGTCCTCAGAGTAAAAATACAAAGTGGGTAGGAATTCCTATGAAGGGTATTTATATTATTAGTGGAAAGACATGGAGCTGTGTGCAAAGGCCTGATCTGGATCTAAGTGTGGTGATCCAGATGTGCCTGCATCTGATGAAGATCACAGGTCCCAGACCTAATCTGTTACCCATTGATGCCAATGAGGTACTCCTTGTATGTTTTTCATTTTTTTTTATCAGTGCTTAAATACAATTAGTATTGAGGAAAGTGTTTTTGTTTGTAAAATCATAGAACAGTTTGAGTTGGAAGGGACCTTTAAGGGCCATGTGGTCCAACCCTCTGCAATGAAGAGGGACACCTACAGCTTCATCAGGTGCTCAGAACCCCTCCAGCCTGACCTTGGATCTCTTCAGGAATGGGGCAACCATCATCTTTCTGGGCAACCTGTGCCAGTGCCTCATCATTCTTAGTGTAAACTGCTTCTTCCTTATGTCCAGTCTAAATCTCTCCATTTTAGCTTTAGTTTGAAACTATTTCCCTTTGTCCTGTCACAAAACTTTTCAGTTCTCCTACCTCGGTAAGAAAAGCAAACAGTTATGTTGGTGATGCAAACATTCTGTTGCATATTGTCAGGTCTGGAGTCTCTGATGGCTGTGAAATGGTGTTTTGCAAAAAGATTCAAGTGACAATAGTTTGTGCTTGCATCTGGTTCTACATGAATTGGAGGCACGTATTTGGAAAGCTCCATGTTTAGTTAACTCCCCATAGTTTCCTGTTAACGTGTTTTCTAACAGGTGGTCTGCAGAGCTGTAGTAAGCACTTCACAAACAAGGATGTGGAGGACAGGGAGCAAATTGTGCAGATGTGAATCTCACATGAGCAGGACAGGTTTCCAGTGAGAAGCATGGTCCTGCCAGAGCCTGCAGGACCCTGCTAATGAAAATCAACCCAGGCTGAGTACGAGGAGTTAGGTATCTTTGCACCCCAGTGGACTTCCTGCAAATTTTGTTCTATACGGAATCCAAACTGCTTTCTAAAAGAGGGTGGGGAAAGGGATCCACCAGCCAGACACCCATGGCAATCAAGGTGGCTTGCTCTGTGAGTCCACAAACATAAGAACAATAATAGCACTGTCAAAGTGCAAACCTTTGCAAGTGTTTTTCACTTCAAAATGAAGGATTCATTAAAAAATGCAAGTAACCATTTTCAGGTTGATTATTATCCTAGATACGTCTATTCAATACCTTCTCAGGTGTGAATGCACATGCAATGCCTCTCCCTTTTCCTCCTGTTGATAAAGGAAGCAAGGTGCAAAGTAACCATTATATTCTCCAAGAGCTTGACTAACCTGAATGCACCCATTTCAGCTCATCCTGTGAGATAACCAATTGTCACCAGCTCCATTTCAGATAAGGGGAAGCAAGGTGTTGCTTTCAAAGGGCAGGTTGGTGAGACAGCCATGCAGCCACCTAGAGCTCAGCTGGGATGAGTCTAGACACACCTTGATCAAACTCTCCTCGGTACTCCTTCAGCTGGAAGCGAGCATCACTTTCCTAAAAAGGGAAGAAGGGAGTTAAGGAAGATAAATTCACTAGGACTTGAGGCAGATATAATATGGAGGGTCATTTTAAGAGCTTAGGTCCAGCTTCTATGATATTTCTATGCAGTGCCCAGCTCTATGTTTGCTATTTCCTGTAGTGTGGGATTTTCTCCTGCAAATATGCTCTTTCTACTATCCTTAAGTGGCACAAAATAATATTTAGCAGCTGTTTTCAGAAGTATCACCATAGCTGTTCAGCTGGTAGGTGCTGGTTTCCTACAGCTGAAAATCCATCAGTAGCAGATGGAAAAGTAAAAATATCAATATCTATGTATTGCATTAATGCTGGGATCAATCTGTGAATTAACCTACAGCTGTCATCATCCTGGTGCAATACCTGTGTGCATAGATGTACCTACTGGCATGTACACGTTTGCAGAATCAGGGCAGACTGTGGTAGATGACTAATGGGGACAGACACCATCAGCCAGAAAGGACAGAATAGCAAACAGAGGTTTCAAACGTAGTTCACTTCTCCTAGGATTTCTTGTTTGTTTATTTGTTAATAAGCACATGTGAAACTTGTGCTTGGTATGAAAAACGAGCTATAGAAAGTGGTGAGTTCCCAGAAAGAGCTGGAGATGAACATTCACAGTGTTCAGCAACGTAGCCTAAGAAGATACTCCTTGCGTTACAGATCTGTGATATACTAACTTCTTTCTGACTAGCTCAGAATGGGTCATCCATGCTATCAACTGATTTGCACATGCATTAATTTCAGTGGATCAGTATTAGATACACTGATGTTAATCACTCAGCTATCACAACATATTGCCTCAGTTCTGCTAGCCGAACCCCACATTTTGCTTTTTGCCTGTGTCTGATGTAGTTCTGAGAAATAACTGACATGCAAATGAAGCCACAAAATCATAACAAATCCTGGAAAACTGCTACTCTTGGTATCCTAGCAGGGCCCTTATTCCATCCTGTCCTGCCTGCCCACAGCTCGCCACTCCTTCCCAGCAGGCACCTGATGACCTGGCCTCTGCATCTCCTGCCAGCAGCAGAGATCCTCAACGTCCCTCCCCAGTTCCTTGTTTGCTTTGCTCTGTGCTTACTGATTAACTTTCTGTGTGCTAAAATGCAGATGATTTCCTGTTGCAAAACGTATTGATCTTTGGAGCAGCTGGTTTGCTGAATGAAGTACAGAAAGGAGAAGTCTGGATTATTTCCTGATGTGTAGGAGATGGCTTGATGAAAATATGCCCCCATGTGCAAATTTGAACTCAGAGGATCTAATTCTGTTAGTTTTCACTGTAATAAGCCTGGAGGTATTTCTTGACCTTACTGCAGTGACAGCTGGGCTGGGAAGTGATCTCATCTTCTCAGAGCTGAATCCATTTTGTGCTGTTGTGTTTGCACAGCTCTTAGCACAGTAAAGTCCTGCTGTGTGCTTCAGATCTGGAGGTGCACGTGTCCCCAGGCGGAGCAGTTCAGATTCAGCCCTTCACTGGTTCTCCCATTATTAACATACTTGCTCAGTGCCACAGGAGCGGTGTATTTGTATCAGTGTATGACGCTCTGGGAAGGTTTGTTTGTAGGTACTGGTGCTAACAATGAGGGCATTCTTCTGTCACCTGATGATAAGCTTTCTTCCCTTCCCCTGTGGTCACATGGGATCTCTCTGTAGTTCTGTCAGCACATATATAATTAAAGCAAGCTGCTGTCAAGGAATTGAAGAAAGAACTTGCATATTGAATGTAAATATTTTCTGCGCCTTATGGAACAAGAAATGATCAAAGATGGAATGACTTAATTGCACATAAGTCTCTGGCTTTATGAGTAAACCTGTTGCCCTGGAAGCCTGCTTCAAGGTCATACCAGTTCCACAGCGCTCTCCTCCACGTTCCATCATGGGGCATTTTGCATCTGTAACAGCCATGCAACAAACCTGCTCGTGAATAATGTTGCCAGCATATACGTGTGTGAGGGGAAAAAATGGCATTTTCTACAAGCCCTTCCCAATCCTTCTTGTATTTCCATGCCTAATCTGCCTGTGTCTCACTTGCAAATCCAACTGATAAATGTGGTGTAGATTCCTGCGTACAGTCTCTGGGTTATCTGAGGGTATAGGCTATCTGAGGGCTTGCTTTCACAGAGAATAATTTTATCTCAAGTGGCATGAGGTTCAAGTTTCACTTGTGAAAATACAGTAATGCTGTAATTTGTTTGCTGTTCCTTGATAACTTATGCCTTGTGCCAGGAAAAATTCTCTCACCTGCACGATGTGAGAGCTGGACTTACTTTGGAGTCCTCCAAATGGCACCTGAGCAAGAAAAAAGTCTCTTGCCCCCTTCATGCATTGATGTTGTACTTGTTACTATATTCCATGCCTCTACCTTCACTTCCAGATGAAAAGCTTTAGGTGTGGAGCAGCCTCCGTCCAAGCCCCGATGGCAAACTTAGCATCCACCTTGAGCATTTCACCCAGGGGAATGAGGGCTGGACCAGGCCTCTGGGAGCTGCTCTCTATAGGGCAGAAAGCCTGGGAAATTTGCAAGCATCTATCTTATAAACCTGCCCCGACTGCTTCTGCAGTCTATCCATGTGCCTGGGAGATGCTGTATTTGTGCATTGCTGGTCTCCCAGCTTCGCTGGATTATCTCCAGCCAAGGGATGATATTAGTCTTCACACTTGCAAGAAACTGCTTCTGCTGCATATGCTGGCTTTGTCCGTGGCACTGCACACCGAGCTTCTCTTGTCCTATGAGTAGAGCTGTGCACTTCCATGGCTCAAAACCAAAGTCATAAGCTCCCTCACCAATGCAAAATCTTCCAGAAGGGCAGCTCCTGCAGATAACTGGCCATGCAAAGCAACAATTGCAAATGCTGCCTTCCACTTTACATTTTTATATCTACTAAAAGTACCAATTACCTTGGCATATGTCTTAAGAAATACTTGTGCAATAAACCATTCAAGAGAGACCATTTTTTTCTTTTACACCTGTCACTTCCAAGGACGAATGAGCTGAATTCTTACTATAATTGTTAATTCTCAGCGATGCCTCTTCCTGCCAGTCCTCCCTCTGAACTGTTCCAGGACTGGTACACATTACCAGGTAGAAACAAGTCTGCCTGTATTCCAAATGTTCACTTACTGTTTGTGCATTCAATAAACTTTCACTTACTCTGCAAGGATTTCAGCAGGCTACTAATGTGCTTAAACTGGTCAAAAGCTATCAGCTGAACGTAAAAATCACAGGTTTTGGCTGTAATTATCATCTCAGTATCTTGCTCTTGCATTCTACAGAGACAGACATGTCAAAAACGAAAATGTGAGTGCGTTGAGTGAAAATGAAAAATTATATTACTAGTAAAAAAAAAAAAAAAAAAGGGTACTTTTATTAAAAAACATGTTTTCTATAAGGAAACAGCATCTACCTGCTATTTCCCACTGTTATTTCTTTGTGTTGAGAATAGTTTTTATTTTCTGGCATTATTACCTATCATGAAGTAAGGATAATAGATGAGCCCTGACATAATTCCTGAATCAAAATTGATCAGGGTGATCTAATGGCATAAACTGGAAGAAAAAAAAAAAAAAAAAAGCTTCTCTGGGGATTGTGATTTTGAGCCTGACGTGGGATACAGTGCCTTTGTTTTGTTCCTGTAATGCCATCCCTGCCACTACTATAAAAGATGGAGAAGTTCTTCTGCAGAGCATCTTGTGTTCACCTTCAGGTTCCATCTGATACCGTAGCAGTACTGCATCTAAGACAAAACATTTCTAAGACCTTCCTCCTGAACTCTCACATTCAATCACACACGTACAAACTATTTCACACCTGATTTCAAGAGGAATGTTGGTTTTGGTGCAAGACTATAACTAAATTTGATTGCGTGTGGTTCCTTGCAAATTTGTAATTGTGGTTACTACCAGCTGTAGGGAGGATCTCATTCCACAACCCTAGCAGACAATGGCTCAGAGGGAGCTGTGAAGAAGTACTAGAATATCTTTGTGCTCTCCACACTGAAGTAAGGACTGAGTCCATTTCTTTCAGCACTTTGCACCTTTGGGGGTGAATATCCACGCAAGACATACACTCACAAGCAGCGTCTCTCTAGGGGAGAATTCAGCTAAAATTTTTCCAAGGTCCAAGGCCTTGAAGAGGGAGACATCCTGCTTTTTTTTCCATTCCATTGTCTGGAATGCTAGGACTAGGACAAAATGTTTATGCCTGTGTTATAAAGAGATGTAAATACTAAGACTCGATGGTAGAAAGAAGATTTGCTTTAGAGAAGGGAAGTACATTGAAATAGAAAATAGGAAAAAAAAAAACCTGGAAAAGCAGCTCACCCCAGCTTTGTTCAGGCTCCTTGATCTCCCTGTTGAAAACTACCAGGACAGAAGCAGAGGTGCTGTCCCCAGTGCAGCTATTTAAATCAAGCTGTGGTCACATCAGTTTGACTAGAAGGATTAGTAACAAAAACATCCTTTCTGAATATCAGCCATCAGCATAATTGTAGAAGGGCCTGAGGCTGATGATGCATTGCATTTGTAAGATTTTACAACTCTTGGCGGAAGACAGCTCCAAGTCCTCTCTCCAGAAGGTTTCCTGGCTTTCTCACAAGTCCAACTCCAGGTTATCATCTGCAGCATTGACCTGCATTGTGTGAATGAGCCATTTGATGCTCCCTTGAGTGCTCATGACCTCACCCTCAACAATCAACTCAAACAACAGCAATCTATTCAGTATTGGTTATCAGCCAGCAAGGCATCAGATCCTGCTTGCTTGTGGCTCATTATACAGTACACTTCCTACAAGGAGCTGACATCAAAGCATAACAGCCTGATCCTCAGCAGAGATTCCCGTCCTTCGCCGCTGAGCGAGAAAATCCGATGCTGTCAAGCCACAACCTGGGTAATGCAGAGATGAGCACAGTAATGATCCGTCTGCCTTTGCTGGTACCCTGCACCATCTTGTGGCTGGCGGGAAAACACCAGAATACCCTCCAAAACCTTCCACTTTTTCCACCTGTGTTTTCCCTAAAGAAAAATACGGACTGTCAGAGTACACTGACAAAATTCTGTGCCCATTGTGTAGCTACCGTGAGTGCCTGCAGGTTGCCTTCAGAACCAGCCAAAGGGAAAGCCATCATTACAGATAAGCAAGTTGTGTGCAGATCCTGTAGCATACATAAATTACCTGTCTGCACAAGATTCCCATGCATTTCCATGTATTTGGAACAAATTAAGCAGGTTAGGTTTTAAATGTGGAAAAGTAGATAAGAATCTCATGGCCCCAGTGACCTCTGTTGTCACAAGAAGTGTTTGTTATTGATCACTGAAGATTTTCCCATACTCTCCCCTAATTCCTTTGCCTTCTTAAAAGAATTCTTTTAGCAGAATTACAGATTTCATCATCATCCGTACCTGCAGACCCATGAACAGACTTCAGTAATACATCGTACAGAACAATGGTTATTCCAGTGAAATTTACAATAAACCCAGTCTTTTCCTTCCACAGGAAGGTTTGCATCCTTCACCAAATCTTAATAGACTTCAGCCTGAGACTATGGTTTTAGAAGGCATCAGTTGTATTTGGATTTCAGTGTGATGCAGGACTGCATTCAGTGGGGAAGGCACTGAGAGCATCTGGGGTCTTTGTGTTTCAAGCAGTAGAGGAAGCATGTCCAGGACAATGAAACGATGATGTTCCTTACAGACCTCCCTCAATACTCTTTTAAACAGAAAAAATGGCCCCACAGTCAGGATTCACATCCTCTGCCACCTTGCCACAGGAGGATGAGGAAACCACCAAACGCATGATGGCCAAGAGGGTAAAAATCATTGCAGAGCTCATGCAGACAGAGAGGGACTATATCAACGATCTGGATCTCTGCATCAAGGAAGTGATTCAGCCTCTGAGAAACAAGCAGGTAAGTTGCCAAGGGTGGAGAACCTGGGGGTGACGTCAAGATCCGAATTCACCTACGCTCTGTTTGCAGATAATCTTAAAGCAAGCACAGAAGGGTTGCATGGTGCCTGAGCTGGCTTTACAGAAGGCAGATGTGCCAGGACTGTAGTGAGGAAAGTGGGAAGTCAGGTACACTTCTGGTCCTTGTCATTGCAAGTGTGTAAAACCTTTGTGTTGAGGTGCTTGCCTGCTCCCAGGCTTAGGCTGCAGTGGCAGCTTCCCCTATCCATTTTGCTGTGCACATAACCACTGGCACATGCCCCAGCAGACCTTTACTGGCACCTCTAAAAGCACTAAAAAAAAAAAAAAAAAAAAAAAAAAAAATGAAATATTTTCCATGGCAACAGCCTGGAATGGCATTAACCTTCTCATCAGGGTTAAGTTCTGTCTTAAAAATTACTTTAACTAGCTTCTCTGATAACTGTGGTAGAGAGACACCATGCATGACAGACAGCCCAGTGAGCGCCTTGGAAATTTGCATTCCTCACAGAAAAGCTAAATTGAGGAAGGAAGGCTTATAAGCTATCTTACAAGCAAAAGATCTTATTAGGCCAATGATTCTCAGTTTCCTTTTCAGCTGGGACTTCAAAGAGCACCTTTTCCTCAACAATATTTCAATTTCTAAAAAAAAAAAAAAAAAAAAAAAATTACGCAGTCTCAAGCTGGGAATAGAAGAGCTTGTCCAGAGAAGGACTTAAATTCGTGGGGCTTGCAACACAGCATTCACAGAAGCTGCACAAATGGTATCTGCTGCTAATACAGCGTAGAAGTGATTTTAAACAGACCATAAGCCTTTGTTCCGTACATACGATTCCAACAACTGCTCACAGAATAGGAGTATTGGAGATGAAGACACTGCCTCCTCAGGGAACTGCGGCCACTGAAGCCCATGTTGTTTAAAATCCTGCAGGACCATCCCTTTGTTTTCTAAAGCTGTCAGAATTTGTTCCAACCCATTTTCAGAAGAGCTGGCATCTGCTGCTTCAACTTCAAGCAGTTCTTGACTCCTTTCTCCTCTCAGTTGTTCATTTGCTTTGGAGTAGTCTCTGCTGGCTCCCAACAAGTACCCAGTGAGGGCACTCTGTGCTCAAACTTACTGAGATTTTTAACAAACATGCTGTATGCTGTATTCTTCTGCTCTTATCCAACCAACTGAAAACATATGTTTTGATTCTGTCCTTTGTCACCATGTTACCATATGTGTCTAGTCATGACACAGTTCCAAAAAGCAATGTAGGGATTGTGCTGCAGTGGAGATCAGAAGTCCAATGACAGATGAATACAGAGGAAAAGTAGAGATTATAACTATCCTAACGTAATAACCCCTGCAATTTCTGAAAAGCTTTCAAAATACTGTATGAAGTCAACTTCTCAGAAAAACTACTATATTTGAAAGTTTGTAGTGTGTTTAAATAAGGATAACATTTAGAAAATTGACCTAGGAATGGATCTGTTTCATATTTCTAAATGGATAAAAAAGTTTAAGCCCTATAATAATTATTTTAAAAATTAACTACGATAGAACTCAAAGTATATTGCTGATTCGGCTACAGCAGCATGCAATTTGATCCTCTCAGCATCTGGAGAGCTGCTATGCAAGTAAGCAGTTCTGTTTCTAACGGAGTGGGATGTTCAGTGGGTACAGATATAGATGTCAAATCAGTCTTGTTTTTGTTCTCAGTGTTAACATGTCACCACTGGCTATCCCCAGTTGTCCCTGAATATTAACTATCACACAGCTGCACAAGGGAGTATGTTGTATGAAAAGCACGTGTCCTGAACATTTTGTGTTTAATGTGAGTAAGGGAAACAATATGATACCAAGGCAAGTTTTTTGCTGATGTAAGTTGAACCAGTTCACTGAAGTCAGTGCTGTGCTCCTGGTCTCTGCCTTTGATTATATTAATACCCAGAATTTTAAAGCGTTAGTTTTAGTGGGAATTGTATGACCTTGATTGCACTCTTCAGATTTACAGGACAACTAACTTAAAATGGTACCATCATTTAAAAGCCTTCGTACCTCATGGCTGGCACTACAGCACCAAGGTCCCAGTTCACATAGCAGCTTCCATGAACAACTGGAAAACAAGGAATCAAATCCCCTGCCAACTATTCTTCTTCTCAATGGGAAAATCAACATTTTAAAGCCAGATAAATAACTTTTCTTCATTCAGATAAGGAACCAGTAGTTCAAAATAGCATTAAAATCACTTGGTAAAACGCCCGTTGTTAACTGTGTCAACCCAATTCTACTGATCTGAAAACTGTATGCATCCCAAAAGTCACAAGGAGGATGTTTATATTACATTTTGCAGAAATTATGCTTCCTGGAATGCTGAATACGAAAGCCTTATTAAGAGAAGGTCTGTAAAATACAATTAAAATACAATGTCCTTCTTTATCCTTCCTCAGTAGCTGCTTAATATTTGTATTCCATTAGATCGCCCGCTTTGATGTGGATGGCTTGTTTAGCAACATCGAATCGGTCCATCAAATATCAGCCAAGCTGCTGTCACTGCTGGAAGAAGCCACAACAGATGTGGAACCACCCATGCAAGTAATCGGTATGTTTACTGTCCTCTTGAGTTCTACAAAGTCACGTGAAAGAATAAACATAGCATTTTCCTGTCCTATACCTTCATCACCATTAACATAAACCATCACCACTCTCAGAGAGTAATGCGCTACAAACTGTCCACAGTAATAAAGGAAAAGGAGATGTAGATGTGAAACCTGTCCAATGGCTCTGCTGAGCTCATGTCAGGCTTGATCATGGTGCTTGCTCCTCTGGATGTTGAGGGGAAGGTGAAAGGGAGAGAGTGAGCTTATCATGAATGAAAACTGCAACACTTGAGTTACACTACGATAACATCATTTTCATCTAGTTCAGTATTACCTACCTAACTGCTTATGCTTAAACCAACTTTTATATTGCATGTTCATACCTGTGCCACTTGAGAAATGCATTAAGATTTGTTAGAATATTAAAAATATCACAGAAAACCTACCCAAACATCATAAACATATTTACTGGCAATACAACTAATGTAAAAGGTGATTAACAAGGACATGGTCAGTAAAAGAAAGAAAGCAGTAATCAATATGGAGCTTTTGTGAATCTGTGTAGGAATGTCTGTAGGAATCATGAGTATTTTTAGCAAATAGGTTGCCCCTGGATATATCACAGCAATCATACACTCAGTAGCTCAAGCCATAAATGTTATGGCTGGAATCTATTCACTTGACATTCTGGCACAGGTGGAGAGATTTAAGAAGTTTCCATTCATCAGCTCTTCTGTAATTGCTTATTAAGTGCAGAAGTGGTAGGTGATCCAGCTGAAGAAATCAAGTGAGAAATCATAATTTGCTGGAGTGCAAAGTTAGCAAGTTTAGTTTAAAAAACTTTCAGCTATGATTCAGAGGTCAGAGGGGTTATTTTTTCACTATACTGACCATGTACCACAGGTAACTTGTTATAGAAAGAACCATCTTCTTGAAATACAACAGGGTAAAAAATTGTCAGTTACCCTTTGGCTAGGGAACACAACATTAAAGCTTGTGAAAAGGTATTAATCCTAGCATGTCTCAATCTGGTTTGCCAAGGCAACAGCTTAACGTAGTTTGATGAAACTGCGTTGTTTGGCAGTATTTCAATAAAAGTGCATCATGATGAGTCATACCCTTAATAAGCAATGTTCTACTCTAGCAGGAAGTGGCTTTCTCAACAGCAAGGAGAATCATTCTTTCAGTCTGCTGCCATATCCAGAAGTAAGGACAAATAATTGAATCAGTTTGGTATGGTGTATTTCTCCAGAATCAGACAAAGGACCATCAGAACGTATAGGATATTGGAACAGAAAGTTGGCTAAATTATGGCAGGGAAAAAGATGGAACATAAGATGAGAGCAATTCTTCTAAAGACTGAGCCTAAAGCAGGGAGAATAATTGCGTCACTGTAAACAATAAGTTACTAAGTATTTCACCTTCAAACAAAGAAGGGATAGATAGTTGTGCCTTCAGAATCCTTCCTCATATTCATTGTAAAAGTTGTTAAAGCCAGTCTTTTTCTGTAGGATGAAAAAATATTTAGCATACCCATCATATCCTATTGTGTTTGTGCTATTTAAACATCTTCCATTCACATATCTCCCTTTGGAAGGAAGCCTAGCCACAGTGAGTGTACAGATGCTATAGCTATGAAGCATACCAGAGAGCTTGGCTACATAGTTACTACACCAAAGCAGGAAAGAAAGGGCACTTACCTGTATTCTGGGCTCACTTACAAAACTCCAGCAGAGCAGATCTCCAGAAGAGATCCTTCCCCACTGGTAGCCAGCTCTTAAATGGGTCTAGGAGGGGTGCAGCCAGGCTCCATCCCTTCTGGCAGCACAGGTGAATTGCCTTCAGCTGTGCTCCCATGGCTGACTCACTGCTCGCCTCAGGTGATCAGTCAGAGGTTCAGGCTGTGATTCAGCAGTTCCCATGTAGTGAGGCTGAGGAGAACTGCTGTTTCACGAATTAGAAACCAAAATTATGTAGTTACTTGTATTGATGCCTAATTCTAGTCTCCACATCTTGGGCTATACTTACATTGACAAGTTGTAGTGCCCGTAGATTCAGACTCGTACAACAGAACAGTTGGTGCTGAGGTCCTGGTATATACAAATTTCAAGATGTCTTATTTCAGATTAACTTTAGCCTATTCCTGTAGATCGAGAGGTACACTTCATGCTGTGCCCTAAGAGTATATCTTCTGGTAATTACCACTCAAAAGGATCCAGTCTATGTGTCTGTTAACTGTTTCTCCACACAGCCAAGTCATGGGAGATGAGGCACAGTGAGAGACTGGCTTTAAAAGCCCCCTCCTAATCTGCGCTAAAATGCTAATGTAGCTTTGGTGGTTGGTCCTCTGAAGCTAAAAGCAGTAGAAGACAAATGATCTTTCTAGTTCTCCCTTGTGTTTTTTCTCCTCTGTGATCTGGTTGCTGTACATAGAGGAATATGAAGACTTAGTAATTTTACTCTGCCTTTAAATATTGGGCCCTTTCTTCCTCCCTCTCCCACTGCTGTTCACACAGGAAGCATCACTGAAAGCTGTAAGGAGAAAGTGTTGCTGCCACTGAAGCCTTCCTCCTAAGGTTGCCTCTTCGAGACTGTCTGACCACTACACTCAAGAAGAGGCAGATCAGGCAGATGTTGATCTGTCAGAATGCTCAAAATACTCATTATTTATAAACCTGTGACAAATATGATGCATTTTTGCTCCATAAAGCAAGTTATCTCAGTGATATGCTCAGTGCTCAACTGACTCGACTTACATATCCCAGAACCAAGAAGAAATTCAGGCTTAAGGACCCCAACTGCTTTTAAAAGATCCCATCCGTGAAATAAGCGCATAATTTTTCTCATTATTTTATCATAAATGAAATTATGGCACAATACACCAATGAATTCTCATCTTTTCCATTCTGGAGGAGAGAATGACTATTTCCAGGCTCCAGTATATGCTGAAGGGAAGCTAAGTGTATAGTTTGCATTTTTTTGCTGCAGAAAATATTATCTCTCTTAAGAGCTCCATGTACTATGGGCTGTGCTAAGCACTCTGCTTAAAGTTAAGTGTGAGAGTTCAACATCTCTGCCAAGGGCACGGGATCAGGAGAAAGCTTGTTATACTTGTTGGCTGAATAAGGCCCTGTATAGAGTTTACAGGGAAGTCAGAATGCAGTTGTGTGTTGTTAGCCATCAGCACTACATTTAGCACAAGACAGAGAAAACAGAGATGACAGCACCCAAAGAGGATGCAGCTTTAGGATGCAGGTGCTTTTCTGACTGTGGCCCTTACAGTAACTAAAATGAACTTCTGTGTTCTTAACTCGGTTGTTGCTGTTCCCTTGTTCGCACCTTGAAACCAACATGCATTAGACAGCCCAGTTAACCTTCTCTGCTAGGGAAGAAACGCAGAGCTGTGTTACTGTGGTAACTGAGTCATTTTTCACTCTAAGACAGAGCAGTTCAATGCAATGTATTATGAAACAGCCAACTTCGGTCAGGATGAAAGCGGCAGGATGCCTGACAGCTTTGTGCTCACTCTGTGAATGAATAGAGCTCCCAATTAACGTGGTGCTCAGCTTTTAACTTTAATAATCATGGCTATAACTCAACAAGAGTGTTTATAAAACATCTGACTGGTTGCCACGTAGATGTAATTTTTCTGTAAATGCCTGAGACAGTAGTTTTCACCATCGCTATTGTTTATTATGTGCATTTCCAAGGATGCTGATCAGGATGCTGCTATATTAGGGTGTGAGAACTAATGAATATCTCAGCAGAAGAGATGAAGCGTGCTTTCTCTGCCTGGATAATACACAGAAAGCAGCACAGAAGTTACCAGCTGAGAGAAATGTGCACCAAACTTAGATGGGAAATGGGTGCAGGACTAATTCAGTGCCTCTAAAATTTCCAACTATTTTTCAGGAAAAACAATGCAACAAAGGATCAGAACTGTAAATACTTTTCCCTTTCATTCTGTACAGAAATGCCTGCAATCCACAGTGGTTTTAATTCATTAAAGTAAAAGGTGAAGATTGTTCCTCTGTCATGTGAGGAAGATTCCCCATTCTAGGCCTTAACAACTGCCATTTCAGGATGCTGCAAAACAGATAAACATGAAATGACTAATGGGAGATGGAGTCATTATTCCTGTTATAACCCATTTAAGTTCATATCCAGCTGAAAAAAAAAAGTCAAAAGGAAAATGAATGTCCTTACACTTGTTTCTCCTGCCAGCCCAGAGGGCCAGCATAGTCTCTCCTTAGCAGCAGAGCTCTCCTGTTTGGTTCTCACTGCAGGAGTGTTAAGGTGTGGCAGTGAAGTAGGAGATTGTATATGCAGGGGTGCAGGTGTAGAGATTTTGTCCCTGTTCTCTGGGGAATTTTTGTGCGTTAACACTGGTACAATGGTGCCTGGCTGTGACAAAGATGAGCAGCTGAGAAATACATGTAATAAATAATGCACATAAACACACAAGATCATTTCTAAGGGAAGTAAAGTGGAAAGCAGCCCTTTTAGCTCACAGCTAATGTGGTGGAATAATAAAACTCCTTCTGAGATGCTGTTGTCTGGCTTGACATGCTTTGTTTTTCTCTTTAACAGGGGAAGTGTTTTTGCAAATTAAAGGCCCACTAGAAGACACATATAAAATCTATTGCTATCGCCACGATGATGCACACACCTTGCTCGAATCCTATGAAAAGGATGAAGAACTGAAGCAGCATTTAAGACACTGTGTACAATCCTTAAAGTAAGATCTTTTCAAATGATGATTTCCGTCCATAGTCAGTTGCCTGGCAGGGAACATTTTAAATGGATGCAGATGAAAGGTCCCCTGTAAATCCAGAGTTTTATGAGGCTTGCTGGAAGCTCTGGCTTATGCTGCTTTCATGAAAAGATGACAAGCCAGGGGCCATGATTAGATTTCTTTCTCTCTAAGATGGCCAAAAATAGCACAAGAAAGGTTTCTCTTCCCTTAGCTTCAGTGCCCCATACTGGCAGAAGAAATGCTGCATCATATAATGGGCTGCTGGGAACACCTTGCCCAGCTCCTAGGAAACACACCGGCCCCATTTTCAGCGATTCTATTGCCTGGATTAAAATGGCACGCAGTGGAATCATTCACACATACTGGTGTTTCTGGACCCCACTGTAAGGCCCCAGAGATCTGCAGCTATGCCCAACACCTCATGATGAGGATATTTGAAAGTGGCCTATGTTGAAACAAGCTGTCAGGTTCCACCAGTGGAATTTCCTTCATGCCATTGCCTCCAGCACCACCCCCTGGGGGAAACGTACTGGGGATGCAGCAGAAAAATGGCTCTGTCTCTCCTCCGGCATGGCTTCTTCCCACATCCTGAGAACCAGTTCACTTTCTCTATGAGGAGCGCTTCTCTTCACTTGCGAGCTCCCTTATTCCCTCACTTTCTCAAAAATCTTGCACAGAGCTGTCAGGAGAGTGCATACCCTTCAGACCATAGGTCTCCCTCCAGCTCCAGAAAAGGCTCGTGCTGCGCACTTCCACAAGGAATGCAAAGCTATCACAACTAATTAATGGAGTGTACATCAGCAACAGATATTTCAATTATACCCAAGCTAGTGATCAGTCAGCAGACGTGTTAGGAGATGGAAAGTATATGCCATTTCACGTATACTACGTTGCGCTTTTCTCCCAGTGGCTAGAAATAGCAGCCAGTTCAAATATTAAGACTTGAAAGTGCACACTCAAATGCACAGTTGTGGTCACCTAAACTTTTTACTTCTGATGAGAGAGCACTTGTCCTAGGAAGAAAATTATGTATGAATTTTACCAAATAAGTTACAGACTGTTTTATATTGCGAGATATAATATATGGGGGCCAGTGACTATTATTCTTCAAAGCTCTTTACTTCTTACATCTTTTCTTTTTTCCTTGGGAAGAGTACTATTACATTGGGGAAAAAAAAAAAAAAAGAGGTCTAGCAAGAGACTTCAGTTCCTCAGTTGAGTAATATCTGCCTTGTAAAAAACAACTTCTGTATTAAGATGAATTTGCAAGTAGCCCTCCGCACATCTGTACAAACAAATCAGATTTAATTAGCCATGCCTAGATTCCTACGCCTCCTGTTGACTAAAGGGGAGAAATTCCATCCCAAAATGTAGGTGTCTGCATGGAGACATGTGCAAATCCAAATTATGTAGAAAGCCATGTTTCAGCAGTGATTATGCAAAATGGAAATGTTGTTTGCTAGCTTAGCCAAAGAAATGCAGCTGGTAAAAATGAAAGGATGCTGGCAACTACCTGCTGTGCTTTCAGTCTGAAGTATCTTGGTCAACTATTACGGGGGCAGAGGGACGTCAGAAGTACTCAAAGAGCTGATGGTGCTGAAGCAATGAAAACACCAGCTTCCAGATGCTTCTTTGGCTGCTGATAGGCAAGGAGATGAAAGTGCAGGTGGTCAGAAAGCAGTGGCTGATTATACGATGTCAGCACTCAATACCAGAAGAGTCTCATGCGGAGGTGGAGGGACACTGTCATTCCACAGAATCAGAGAATCACAGAATGGCCAGGGTTGGAAGACACCTCAGGATCATGAATCTCCAATCCCCCTGCCACATGCAGGGCCACCAACCTCCCCATTTGATGCTAGTTCCCCTGCATTTGGGTGAAGTTCTCCAAGTTTAATTGTATCATGAGGAAAATATTCTGTGTGCATGTTTGCATGTTTCCAAAAAACAACAGTACATCTCTGCTGCTTTCTGTATGCATATCAACAGTATCCTATTCTGAAGAGGTTTTGGTTGATAAATAGCCTCTCAAAAGTTGAACAACTTAATTGATTCTCTATCCTAAAAGTCTACAATGTATTCTTTTTCACACAAAAATAATGTAGGAATGACATTCAATTTCGCTCTTTGTGTTAAGGATTTGATGTTGCTAGCACAGTGACTCAAGCTGTCTTCTCTAACAGAGTTAGGAGAAGGCTGGGCAAAATCCAGGTTCCTGACAATCCTTTCTCATTTGGGGCTGTCCTTTCAAAAAGATGTAGGGCCAGATTCATTGGTACCCTCTGGCTGTTTTGTGCAGTTCTGCTGACACACAGCAGCCATAAACGTAAGTTAACTGGCCAGTTACAGCTGCTCTGTGTCACCGAAGTGTATCTGAGAATCTGGCCCGTGATCTATATAAGTCCTTTTAGGAGGAGCTAATATATATTTTTGTTCCTTTTCTTTTGCAGAAAGATGTACGAGGAAGAGTAAGTACTACGTCTTTTTCATGTGTAAAATAATCTTTTAAATATCTTTTATTTATCTTAAGTACGCTTAAAACTGTACATGTGGAAATTTTAAGAACACTAAGCAATATCTGTAGAATGCATAGACTTCTCCAGAACATATGTGATAAAACACTCTCAGTTTTAATTTCTCTAAGCCTGTCTGGTTCTCTAATTACTAACTGCACTGGTTTTGCAATGTCTTTCAACACTTGTGGTTTATGAAGCTACTTAATTTGGATGCCAATTCATTCAGAGCCCTTTACTACCACCTTATTGTCTAATAAATGTGCTTAGAGAGCTCTGAGCTCCTCAGCAGTGCTTGTCAACAGTGCAGTGTCAAATCTGAAAATCCAGGCACTCTTCAATTGCTGTGCATTATGCATCTGTAGGCCTGCTCAGTACACACCAGGCTGATAGGTAAAGCTATTTTTAAGGTAAGGACACTTTTGGTAGCCCTAAATATATGAGAAATCCATCTTTCTGAGGAGCTTCCTTCTGACAATGGTTGTAGGAACATCAGAAAAGAAAAAATGTCTGGCAACACCTTGCCAGAATACTCATCCAGCCTTGGATACCTGACATTTTTGAAAAGCTTTAAGGGAGAGTTTATCAGGGCTGTGGTTTTGGACATCCAGCAGGTCTGGATCCTTGAATACAACATGAAATCCTAAATTTACCTGCAGGAAGGGGTAAGAGAAGGGATTAGCTGAACCAAAGAAAATGATTACAACTCAGATAGAAATGTTAAGAGAAAAGAGAAGCAGGTGTGCTTTAGGTGGATAGAAGAGAAACATCTGTAAAATCAGAGAATTAGTCAGTTGGACATCATAAATAAGGTCAATGTAAAATAGATTTCAAAGGATTTACGTGTTGAAATCCTAGGTTGGGGTTTTCAAGGTTTATTTGGTGATTGAAAGTACTTTATTTGCATTGGTTTTGATAAAGGAGATTCTATACTCCTTTTGAAAAAGGGATAGAGGTCCTAGGAGGAACACCAAATACCCAGAGTAACAACAAGATAACATGAGAGAGCAGTGTGTATAGACATAACACAAGACTGGCTGCTCTGCCTTGCACTACCCTCCCAGAAGTTAATGCCCAGCTTTCTCCTTTAGTTTACAGTGGACTGTGGGATACAGCACACTTCTTGAGCTGAAACTAGCTCTTGTAAAGCTGCACAAGGAATGATGTTCACTCAAGAACCCTCCCTGAGCTTGGCTACCTTGCATGACTTGGTGGCATTTGTGTTCACCCTGCAGGCACACAGGCAGGGCATGCCAAAATGCCATCTCTTGCACTTCAGACGTTGTGGAGTCAAAGCAAAATGTGGGCAGAACTGCACCTGAAAGTCTGCACAGTCTGCTCTGTGTTCGAGTTGGAAAGCATGGCATAACTCCCCTCAATCTCCCAGGTTGCTTTTCATTCAAGTGTGATCATTCATTCAAGAAAACAATTATACACATATCAGACAAAGCTGCTTATTGCTATCAACTACACTGGTTGGATTCTGCTTAGATTAACAACTATGCAGCCTCAGTGAAATCCCTGGGTTTGCATGAGAGCCGTACAGCACAGCGAATTATTTGCCTGCCTGTTTTGTGCTAATATGAGCTCACACATAGTAAATTGTAAAACTCAAGTCTTTGAGACGTGCTGCAGCCTGTGATGCGTGCACACAATTTCAGAGCTGCCAAGCTGAACACAACACCATCCTCAGCCCTGCAATACCAAACTGGCTGTCACATTCACCACAGGACTTACCTGCTAGACAGCAAAAGTGTGAAACTAAACCCTGGGTTCCCTCTCTTTGCAGATTTTCTTTGCAGCTCACCACCATGTATTTTTTAAACTGGTGGGAGTCTTTCTGCATCTGTCTTGCTTTGTTGTAAGGAGGGAGGCAGGGTATGCCATGAAGCTCACTGCAGCTAAGCCAGCTGCATGCTCCGCAGAGCTACACTGAGAATCTGCGATGAGATTAGTGCAGCTACTTATAACCTAGAATACTTGCTAAATTCATGATAAACTGGGGAGAGGCAGAAGCAGCATTGCAAACGAATTATCAACTTAATTCTCTGCACAATGGCTGTCACAAGCCTGTTTTAGTCGCGTGGCGGGGCCACGTCCTGCCTGGCTGCCGAGTGCATGCTCGCTGGGCCCACTGGAAATGGGACTCATCCAGGGAGAGTGGAGATCAGCAGATAATCTCGCTGGGGAGAATTAGAGGAGTTGAACTTTGTGGCATTCAGGGCCCCAGGGAGTCATTATCTTACAACAAACCTACTATCTCTCAAACCATATTGCTAGACTGTGTCATGCAGATACGTGAACAGAGGGCTGTTTATCACTTGGGCAGCTGTCCAAAGTGCAACTATATAAAGAGAAGATACTTGAAGATTTTTCCATTCATGAGGCAGCTTCTACAGATTTGCATTCAAGGGGCTTTTTAGAGAAAACAATAACAATTTAAGATTTTTTTCATTATTGCTACCAGAAGCTGAAAGAAGGGAAAATAGCTCTATATATTTAATGTAGGATACGGGGGAAATGAGGGGGATTGAAATGATAAGAAGGTTTGGGGACATCAAGAAGCTTTAAAAGGCATCTACTGTTAATTTTTTTCATGCAGAACTTTTCGCAGATAATGTCTGTGCAAGAGAGATAGTTTAAATATGCAGATGTCTCTTCTCAAAGGCATTCAAATTGTTAGTTAATTAGTCAGCAGTAAGGACTGGTTGGTGTACTTTTCATACATATAAAAGTGGGAATGAAAGCCTTTTTTTCCCTTCTTCTGCTCTTCCTGCTCACAAAACAATAGATGTCAGCCTGCAAATCTGAGCGGATGTTCTCTGCTTTTTGTACTTCCCTTCTATGTTGTATTATTCTACCTTTCCTCATTCAGAAATCCTTCTTTGCCTACCATTAGCTTTTCCACAGTTATTGTCAGATCAGCTCCTTCCCTCCAAGACAGCCTTTTTGGGCATGCAGATGGAAGCCTTGCTCTGCTCTAGTGCCTCACACCATCCCCACCAGCTCACTCACAGTTCCAAGGGGCACCTGTGAGTCTGGGGTAGTTCACAGGAGAGCTGGTGATGCTGCAGCATTCCCAGGTTTGCTCAGGAGAGTGCTGGCATGAGGAAAGACAAGGACTCCTCTGTCCTGCTGTCAAAGCCTCAGTAGTGTGATGTCACCTCCTGAAAGCCAGCACAGAAGAACAGCAGGTAAAGAATGGCAAAGCTTATACTAGCAAACTGAAAGGTGTTGCAAGAAGGGATGCAGCAGTGAGCAGGCATCTCAGTTACTTCACAATGTGGAGATGTTGCAATTTTAAGGCTTAGGGGCCAGAGCAGGATGTAGTAGCCCCACTTCTTGTATTTCCCAATCTTCCTGTTATTTGCTCTTCCACCTACATCTCCCTTCTTGGGTGCTGTGCAAGTTGCACCATACACACCCCTCAGACTGAGTGGGCCAGTTTCACAGCCGATGTCTAAGCAGTATGGCAAATTGCTGAAAATACAGAAAACTCAAACCTGGTGTGTATTTCTCATTGAGGGGGCAGGAGGATGGTTTCATTTGCAACAGCCCGTGTTTCCTGACAGATGTATCTTATTTTTTGACTTAAGTGGTGATTGCATATCTATGACTCAGTGCAAAGCACTGCTCTGGTTTTGATATTTTCTGTAGTTGAAAGCTCAACTGAAGGATATAAAAGGCAGCAGCTTCAACGACTAGACAGAAATAGAAGAAGTCTTTGTCTTCAAGGAGTTTCTCCTTATTTGACTTTTCCTTGGTATAAATTATAGAGGAAAGCCAAATCTAATGGACATGGGATCCCTGATGATCAAGCCAGTACAGCGGGTAATGAAATATCCCTTGTTACTCCATGAACTGTTGAATTCAACTCCTGCTTCTCACCCTGACCACAAAGCACTACAAGAGGCCCTTTCTGCTATGAAAAATACTAATGTGAACATCAATGAACTCAAAAGGAGGAAAGATTTAGGTAAGGAAAAAAAAACAGTGAATTTTTCTGTCAGTTTAGGCTGGCAGTTACAAGAGAGGTTTCAACTCCAGTCATAATGCCACAACAGTTTTCGTTGGTGTTACTTAAGTTGTGCAATACACCGGGTTTCAGCAAAATAAAAGATGCCTTAATGTCACTTGTCCTCAGGCAGCTGTGTTGCCTGCCAAAGGATGCAGATTCCCAGAACATGAAAATGATAAAAGGATACATGTCATACCCATGTTCATCATCAGTAATGCAGCTGCAAACACTGATAATAATTAAGATGCAGTGATAGTGCTGTTTCTTACAGACTTGCCACATTGAAGTCTTGCTTCAATATTCTCAAGGCCAGCATTGATAACAGGGTTTTCATGATCTCAAGCATTTTGACACAAGATTACAGCAAGTGACATCAAAGTGTCTGGTCTCAAACGGTTTTGTATTTGTGCCCCCATTCCTATGAAAAGCCCCATGGATACAGATTATTAGTGTCATGAAATTCTCTGTCTGCAGTGCTGAAGTATAAGAGGAATGATGATGATGAAACCCTGAAAGAAAAGTTTTCTCGACTGAATATTCACTCCATTAGCAAGAAATCCAAGAGGGTCACCAGCCATCTGAAAATACTGACAGGGGGAGAACCTCAGGTACTTAACTCACCCAACTGCAGATTTGCATTGACAGCTTCAGTGCTGCTTTTGCACAGGCGTTTCTAAAAACATTTTAGAAAAACAGTTTGTGGTGTCGCTTTTTTCCTGCATCATTTATAAAGTCATTTTCTGAGTGTCACATAAGACAGGAAAGATCTCTGTGATTGAAATAGAAATCAAGATAATGTATTCTTTATCCCTTCCTCTTTTATCTAAGAGTTTCTCAAGCTTGTGATCTTCAGCAGAGAGGAAGTGACCAGTATTTTTGTGAAAGTCAGCTTCAGCTCTTTGTGGTTGGACTGGCAATAGTTACTGTGAATACATTCTGGGCGACTTACTCTCCATCCCAACCTTCACATTCTGAGTCCTCTAAGGAAGATGACTAATAGTCCCAATTAGTAAAGATCATAGGGTTTTGCCTCTACATGCCTAAGAACCTGTAAACATCAAAACTACCAGAGGCAAAGAACTCTGTGATAAATCCAGTGAGTGCTAGGTGGGCAAAACCAAAATGCTCCTTCATAATTCCAAGGCTGTAATTCAAACTACCAGGATAAACATTTTCAGAGAAGCTGCAATCTGAATCTGAAAGAAAATCAATTATAACTGACCTTGAAAATGATATATCTCTACACAATCCTACCGGTTATACAAGGTCATTTGCCTTTCTAGATGTGACTTTACAAGATCGGTGCCATTTTTTCCTGTTTTGTTGTTTACCAGTTGGTTTCCCCCCTTTCTCTGACGCAAACTACCCACATTTACTTTTTTTTTTCCTGCTCATTTATTTGCACAGTGGAAATTTCTGTATTTTTGCTGGTTTTCCCACAAAACCCCATGACAGACTGGAACACTGTCAACACTATAAATTCAGAGAAATGTAGAATTAAATGGGATTAAGAGGAGGGGTGATTCTTTTTTTTTTTTTTTTTAACAAAGATGATTTTTTTTTTTTTTTTTTTTTTAATTGAGCTTAAAATATTTGAGAATCATCTTAGACTCAAGATGTATGTTATAGATTCAGCCCTCTTTCTTGCTTAATTAAAGAAAGTTTTCAATTCACATCCCTGAAACATGCTGTGACCCTTACAGCAAAACCCCAGAAAAACAGGCTTGAGATTTCTCAAATTCCCTAACTAAAAGGTAGGCAGAAATAAGTGTATTTTCAGGGTTTCTATAGACAGCATTAAAAAAGTAAAAGCATCCTGTTTCCAGCTGGTGAGGTTACAAGCTGGAGAGCTGACGTTGCTCTAGAGGTAACAGCTCCACCTACAGCCCGCCTGGGAGAAATCTCTCCATTACACACATGAGCACCAAAGGAAACAATGCCATGATGTAAAAGGATACCATATTTTATGTCATATTTTCACCATCGTTTCCCAAA